GTAATTTTATATTTCCAAATTCGATACGCATATTAGAATTATAACTATTTTTCCAAAAAAATATAACATTTTATTAAATAAATAAAAATTTATTAAATAAATAAAAATGGCTTCTATATTTTATGCATAATTTTTCTTTAAAATAATTTAAATCTTATATTGCTAAATACATAGAATGTTGCACTTTTTATGCACTATTATATATTATATATTATATATTATAGCCGCTATTATATGCGAGAATTTTTCAAATAATGTATGATTGACAAAAATTGTTCAAACTTAAGAATATATGTTTTTTATAACTATATATCTCGTCACTATATCTTAAGTTTTTTCCTACATAGTTCGAATATAATTCTCAGCAATCATGAATTTGTTTGAATGTGATGTGGCTGCGGCTGATGTGATTGTGGCTTATTTCTAGTATATAATTGATGTTCTAGAAACTAGAATCTATTTTTAGACTATCTTTTGAAGAAGTGAGAGAAAGAGAGGAAAAAAGAAAAAAGAGATACTAAGTACGAGGAAGAGAGCGAAAGAAACCATGCCAAAAACTGTATAAGAACGGATTAGTGTACTAATTTCAGTACATCTGTCCAATTTCAACAAATCATTGAAAAAGCCATTGGCCAATAAGTCGATCCTCTTTAAATTCTTAATTGCGATCAATTGCGATTCTTTACAAATATGGCAATAATAACGATTTTTCCTCAACTAAATTAATATTTGTATAATTCTACCATAATTTCATTATTTCTTTAGACAGTTTTATTTATGCATAGTACTCTCTAAAAGTGAATCAGTATATTATCACTGAGAAACAATATAGTCACTGATTACAAGCAATTATAAGTACAGCACTGTAAATCAGTGATAATATACTGATTCACTTTTAGAGAGTAGCGTTATGGTAAAAAAATAAGGAATAGATTGTACAATATTTTTGTTAAATGATATTATATCTGTTAAACCAAAAGTAGACTTATTCGCGTAGCAAAAAAATATTAAAGTATATTTATGACGTTAAAAAATCAATTCGAAAAAGTCAATAAATATTCTCTGAAATTTTACAGTAGATTCTGTAAGATATATTTAATTCCTTTTTTTAACTTTAAACATTTTTTAAATAATATATTTTTACCTCTTATATTTTTATACATCTAGAAACATATTTTTCAAATTTATCTTTGTTTAGGAATTGTGCAACAAGCGAAATTAATATTGGTTAAATTATTGTATGTAATAGAGACTCGTAATAAGCTTCAATTAAAATACCAAGCTATTTCACACGAGCTCTATTAAATAATTTTTAGTGATCAACGCATGTTGATATTAGAATATATACGGATCTTGACAATTTTTATATATATTATGAAGAGTGAATTTTTATATCACAAGTTATTTGTAGTTTAAATCGAATGTTATTTCACAGAATTAAAAAAAGGGCGCGACATTGAGATTATTTTGCATGGAAAAGATATACGGGATGAAATTTTAAAAAAATGAGATTTAATTATATTTCTGACATATCTCAGAAGACATTCATGTTGATTTAAAGTACAAATAAAACTCGGAATTTTTTTCTACATAATGTATTTCAAAATTATGACAATCTGTAATGTGCAAATATTCAACATATTATTTTAAATAAATTTGAATCCGATATTAAATTTTTAATTATTATAAATAAATATACAATCTAAAGTTATGACACTAAATGCAATATCAAATGTATACAATTAATCCAAATCGCAAATTGTAAAAAAAATGATACAATTAACGTTATTTATTAACTTTTGATTGTTATATTAAAAATTGAAATCAATAAATAAATGCACATTAAATTAGGAGAAATAATAATATCAGATAGTTTCTCTTCAATATCTAAATATAAATATATATTATATATATGCGTATAAAAGTAAAATATTAAACATTCAAAAGCGTGAAGTATTTTGTATTCCTTTTAAGAATACATTATTTCTTACGTTGATTCTATCTTGTACAGCCATGTGCTTGCGTCAAATGTTGATATAAATCAATATCGATTCATTACGCGAAAATCGACACAAATGAAATGACGCACAGATTAATTTAGAATACTTGTGGGAAATATTCGGAATAATTGGAAATGGTTATATTCTCGATCGGCATTGCGGACGCTTACTGATTGCAGTACAATTTGGGAATATTCTGGTTATCCTCAAATTTGCTCCTCAATTTCTTGGTCTCTTGTGTTCCAATGAATTAACCTTTGACCGTCCTGTCTGATGATTTAAGTGAGTCTCGCGTGCTATTCGCAAATTGTTTGTCGATGCAGTGATGCTGCCAAACGTTAATTTGACACGAACTTTATGAGAAAGAATGTATATCAATATTTTTATATTATATATTTGCCTTTTTCACAATTTAAAATTTTTACTATAAATTAATAAAAACTTAACAAATTATTTTAGAAACAAAATACTATAAAAACATTTTACAAATGTATTTAAAAAAATCTGTGCATCATTAGCGGAAGAAATTTAGTTAACAAAATTGAAATACGTATCTAAGAATACGCATATCTATGAAATGATTCTTATGAATAACAGATTGATAATAATTTGTGCAGCTATTTTGAAAAATTAAATTAAAAATGATCAAATTCGGAGAAATATCGAAATTCTTTTTTAACTCCTTATGTTTCTTGAAAATATTTTTTTAGAAGAACGTGATTGAATATATACGAAAAATATGGTTGCGGATAAAACATTATGTCTACACAATATTCATTCAAGACTTCATCTTATATTCCCCTTGGCTTTTTGTGAAAATTGCTGTTTTTGTAGCAACGACGAGTTTGCTTGAAAATTCGCGAATAAATTGTACCAGTGCTACCTGCCTTTATCAAGGTACAGTCACAAAGTGGACTATACCAGCATGAATCAACCTTCACGCCCACACACCCCCCAATTTTCTCCCCTCTGTATTGTACTTCCACAGTGTAGCAACCACACGCCAGACCTTACCGCCTTCCGTATCGAATCACCACGACAAACACGCCAAAGTATTCGAGTCGAACCAACATATACGTATATGCCTCTGATAAATGTATTATATAAGTGTCTACTCGGTCTACAGCACGCGATCGTAAGCATTGAACTTCTTGCAGCAAAACGTCAATGTTTTTCTGGTACTCTCATCGCGCGTTTGCGTGTCTCACTCATCCCTCGATCAGATGCGCAAAGATGCAGATTAAGCTGGGCACACAATTGCATTTGTTACTTTTCAAGAAATACTTCTTTTTGTATCTCTTCTTATTTTTTGCACTTTCCTATATTATATTTATATCAATTTTTAAGACGCTTTTTAAATTTAAAGTCAAATTTTATTTCCAGCTTTGCCTTCGACTCGCAGGCTGAAAATGCAGAAGGATGTAAGTGTGTGACACATCTTACTTATTCATATATTTCCTTATCCATTACATTTTTTTTCCTTTACTTTGTACTTTTTTCTCTCTCATATATCAGTAAATATAACTTTTCCTTCTCTTTGTGCTCATTGTGATTGTTTTTTAAAAACTCATATGAAACTTTATCTTAAGATAAAATTGATTAATCGATATTAATCGATAAATCAAACTCTTTTCGCTCATATCGTTTTGCAATTTATACATTTTCAATCTATACTTGAGCAGCTATTTCCCAATCTATTGAAAATATCAATAATAAAATGTTAATGCATTTGCAATTCTAGAAATGCAGCTCGATGCCTGTTGAGAAAGTTTACGATGACGTTATAGCCCTCGCGACTTCTTGACAGCGCGTCGAGTTGCGAAATAAAGAAATACTGTCCGAGGGTATAAGCATGATCGAGAAAGACTTTACGACAACATAAAGAAAACTACGAAATATAAGCGGAACTATTTCCTTAACTATGAGAGGCCATCAGCGACAAACTCGTAACACTTCTCGTAAAATTATCGCGAAATGATTCATTCGCATCGCAAAATTCACAAAATTGATTTTCAAGTGGAAAAACGAAGATTCTGAGTGAGAATAAATTAGAAAATTGGATAAAACTGTGTTTTAATTAATTGAAATAATAATTATGAAGAGGCTTATAAAAATAGTGATAATTAATTATTTTTTTCTTTTTTTATATAACAAAAATTTAGAAATATAAAATATTTTATTGCTCGGATAAATGATTATCCGAGCAATAAAATATTTTATATTTCTCAATTTTTGTTATATAAATTGAATTGTAGACAATGTAATAATTTGTTGTAACTTTATAAATTTATAAAAAATATTTATAAACTTATAAAATTATAAAATATTAAATATATATGATTCACACACAGCTGTTATAAATTATTAGAAAGAAAATATGTCTATCGACTTTCTCCGTATATCACAAATTAAATTTATTTCAAATTTATTACAAATTTGTATCATCATTCTTATCAGCATTATTCTAAATTTCATAATATATCGTGCTGAAATACCGTGATGTTTGCAGTTTTCGACAAACGTATTAGTATTTATGTATTTATGTATATACAACTATATATATATATATATATATATATATATATATATACAAAATTTATTTATGTATTTTTGTATGTATTCTCTACGTAAAATTCGATATAAACAGAACGCAACAAAACACATTTCAAACAATTTCCAAAATATTGTCAACTTATATGAAGTTTTTGTTAATATAAGATTAGTTTAAAAGCAATTGAAAGATTTATTTATTTATTGCATCATCGATCAAATTTGTTTAATCAATTTTCAATAATCTCTAACTTTGCAATCAACTCTTTCTTTGAATTTTCTTCAAAAAAAGGATAGACTTGAAAGCAAAAGTTTATTGTCACTCACATTTGACAGATATACCCATAATGCGTGATAGATTTTCAAAAAAATCTTCATAATAATTAAATTTTTGGTGACTGTGCAATATAAAATATGATAGGGATTGCTAAAAATGTGTCTGATACGTACGCAGATCCGCATTTGGCCACGCATAGAGAATCGTCTCATCCATCTTAACATTGGAGGAGTACGAAAAAAACCACCATTAGAAAGCAATTCTTATTGATAAGGCGTCCCTTTGAAACAGCTCCCTTTCAAAAAGCAGAACTCACCAAATCGCCACGTGGCTGACCGCGAAGCCCTAGCAGGAATTCGCAGCCCTACGGACGGATGCACCCAGGTGATACACTCGTCTTCGGTCACATGTCAAAGCCCTTCGGCCAAGTCGTATGCAAGGGGATGCGCGGACTTGTTCATCCCCGCGATATCGTGCAGGTCACGCGTTGTTGTAGACGGCCGGCCCAACCCGTCGCTTCTGCCGTTTTGGTGGTGGTCCCCTCGTCCTCCTCTTCCTCTTCCTCCTTCTCCTTCTTCGCCTCCCTCCGCGCTTGGTTCGCCTATCGCCCCTTCTCTCTTTCGCAAACGAGGTCCTCCCTCTACTCCACTTCGACTTCCATCAGGTCGCTACCAGGACCCTTACCCGTTATACGTGACACGAGGGGGGTAAAATCCATAAGATGCGCGTCTGCGCCCTCGTGCTTACTCTCTCTTGCGCTACTCGTGAATATAAGCGCCCTTCAACCGAAATGTATCGAACTATCCCTCGCATAGGGCTCTGATTGTACAACTGAAGAGAGTAACATGAAGATATAGCTTGATTACCCTTAGTTGAGAATTTATAAAATAACGGATTGTGTGCACGTGTATCTCTACATGTGCGAGTATATTATTATTACATGTGTAATGAAAAATCATAAATTATCTATCAATTTAAATATTTTATCAAAATTACTATTCGAAAGCTAAATAGCTAGATAAATAGATAAATAGATGGATAGATACATAGATAAATAGATGGACAGATAGATAGATAGACAGATAGATAGATAGATAGATAGATAGATAGATAGATAGATAGATAGATAGAAAAATAAATAGATAAATAGACAGATATATGAATAGATAAAGAGAACATAAAAAAAATATTTTTATTAATTGCGAATTAGAAAGATTTTATAATGAAACAAATATATATATATATCCCAGTAAGCAAAAAATTATTACCACAACGTTATTATAATGATATTTACTAACATAGTAATGTTGTCAAGTATGTAGTTTTTAACATTGTATGCAATATCATTATGAACAAACTTTGACACCGATTTAGAGGTTTCGATAATATTGAAATAATATTTTCTATGTCGTTACAAGCAATATTGTATATTAATGTTGTTTTAACATTCTTACAAGCAATATTGTATATTAATGTTGTTTTAACATTCTGATAATGTGTTTCTTATAAAATTAAATCAATAATAAAATAACATTAGTATCAACATCTACATAACTTAATATTAATATCACAATAATATTAATTCTAACATTAATTTAAGACTTTTAGAACTTTCATTGAAAAATCTGAGAACGAATATTTAGACATATCTCTAAAAATAACTTATAAGATATTATAACACACTGGAAGAAACACTTTCCTCTTCTTTCGTGCAGCACTATAACTCGCAAAAGCACTGTAACTTACTTATATGCGAGATCGTGTAAAAGCACGTGGCACGCTGACAGCCGGCACAAGTGTTCCGAAGTCAAAGAACAAAAGAATAAATAACGCATACGCAATAGAGTGTATACTATATTATTTATTCTTTTGTTATGCATTATTTATTCTTTTGTTCTTTGACTTCGGAACACTTGTGCCGGCTGCCAGCGTGCCACGTGCTCTTACACGATCTCGCATAATTACCGAAACCTCTAAATCGGTTAAAGTTTGTTCATAATGATGTTGCATACAGTTAAAAACTACATACTTGACAACATTATTATGTTAGTGAATATCATTATAATAATGTTGTGGTAATAATTTTTTGCTTACTGGGATATATATATATATATATATATATATATATATATATATATATATATATTAGAAGTAATATTGCAATAAAAATGGTGCTGTTACATAAAATATTATGATATAATTTTACATAATATAACAATTGAAAATTATGAAAAAATTAATTTAAAAAAAATAATTTCTTCTTGTATCTATTTCTTGTTAAAATTGAAAAAAAAACAAGGAAATAAAACTTTGAAATTTTGAAAAATTTGGAACAAAATTCAAACTTTAGTATTATCTACTGCTTGAAATAATAATATTCAAAAATATTTTCTTTTTTAAATAAAATTGTGAAATATAATAAAAAAATTTAAATCGTAATTAAAGTCGCAGTTCCTAATAATATATTTTTATATAATTTTTAAAATATACAATAATATATTTTTATAGTAATACATTTTTTTCTCGTCTATAGAATTAGATATGTATAACATATTATTATTAAATCACGAAGAGCGATAGATATAGTAGTCTTATTTTATCTTTAATTTATATATAATTCGAATGTAATATCGCAAATCTTTACAAAAAACATTAATCTGAATTATTTAGATATAAGTAGTTATCTTTTATTAATTATTCATTTTAGTAGTAGTCAGTTTAGTAGTTATCTTTTATTAATTATTCATTTTTATGAATAAAAGATATTTATCTTTTATTCATAAAAATATATGTATTAAATACTGTATTAATATGTATAATTCTTTGGATCTATAAAAAAGGAGATTAAACGATATAAATTTTTTTTTATGCGATTTACAAAAATTATAAAAAATTCTAATATTGATAGATATCTAATATAATGATATAAATATTTGAATTTAAAAGCGTACTGATTGGTTACATTGGTATTGGTACAAGAGGCTCTAGAAATTCCCTATCCAATAGCCAATCGATACGTTCGACAAACTCGTATAATAGATAACATTAGCCTTGCAATTTCGTTGGAAGCTGATTATAAATTTTGACAACATTTGACATACTTATCCGCAACTCAATTGAAAATCTGTGTGACTTGAGAAAAATTAGAATCTCAATTAAAATCACTTCAGTTACATTTCGAAAGACGCATCGAATAATTTAAAATCATTCGTGCTTATTCATTTATCCGGTATGCTATCTTTTTCTAGAGAAGGAAAGAGAGAGAGACATCTCTACGTCTGATTGGCCTGTCAAATATCGCTATCTCTTTCATTGCGTTCCTATATCTGACTACTTTACGAACAGTCTATATATCCTGTGTCTATGGTTACAAAGTGAGAACGAGCCAGGAAGCGAGATAGCAGAAAGTGATCGCTTTGACATTCATTTTCATAAAACGAAGGTAAGAATCGAGGCAAGCAGTCTCTTAACAACCGAAACCATTGACAATTGTCGATATTGATATATGTTACAAGGGCAATTATTCCATCGCCAGTCATTGCATTGCGTCATGTATATGGTTGTTGATATCGCAAGGCCATAAAGTTTACTCGTAATCTCTACTCGCGAGTGTCATTTTACTTCGACTTTTTCATTCTCGCACATAAAATAAATCCGTTAATGGATGATCGTTCATTGACGATGCTTTAAATTGCGATTATATGTCGTTGAGAGATAGATAATTTCGTGGATTTTATTAACCTTTACCTGATAAGACTATTCGAGAAACGTTTATTGATTGAGGTTTACTTCGATGATATAATCGCTTTGTACTCTTTTGTATATATGTAGTTTGACTTTGCAGAAGATATAGTCATGAATAAGGACGAGCACTATGAGGTAATAGACGAATGCATGGAAGAGAAGACGCCTGAAGCACCTGAAAATACAGGAGCAGAGGATGCTGAAAAGACTTGCCCAAAGTCGGACAGTACCACGCAACAACAAGATCCTAAAACTAATTGTGGTACATAATTAAAGTCTTGCGTTTAACATATTTTTGATAATTAATAACTAGTTTTATATCGTCAAACATGGACATTATATTGTTATGATTTATAATTTGAATATTGAGTAACATTTTTGAAAAATGTCCCATAATAATAATTGGTTGTTCACATTTTATCAAAGGAAATTAATAATTAAACAAAATTTGTGACATTGATTCATAATATTGTTTGTCTATATTATAAGATGCTTGTTATATTATTGCATGGCAGACAGCACAAGTTCTCATAATAACGACGACAAACCAGTCCCAATGGAGGTAGAATGTGATCAAGGATTAAACAATGATACTACTGATTTTACTGCTGATATCGGCTTAGATCAATTGGATACACAGAAGGAAGTGACAGATGAAGATGTTATGCATCATCTGGATGTGATAGAAAATATTGAATTAGATCCTGAAACCTTTGGTATAGATCAGTCTATGAAGGAAGTTACTCAATCTTCTGCGACAGAAAAAGAAGAGCAGGAAGATATAGAAGAAATAACAGTGATTGATGATGAACCCTCTGAGCAAAAGTGGTATGAAAACAAGGTAATATTGTGTACAATCTTATATTTTTTTAAACTGAATCATTTAAAAATTGTATAAAAAGATGCTCTAAGTTATATAAAAATTAATTTTTTTTATAGATTGCTGAAAAAGGTGGACTTTTGAAAGAGAGATTGTCGAAATTAGCTCGAGTGTTATCAGTTTCTTATCCTCATTATGAGAAATGGCTGGAAAGAATAGAAAAGATAGAGGGATCCCCTATATGTAAGATAGATCCGCCTCGACGTTGTTCATTAATTAAACCACACACCAATCGTTGGAAGTTTCTATGTAAGTATAGAAAAAGAATATCTTAAAAAGCTTGATATATTGCACTTTATTTTATTTATATTTTAAAAGTATAACATGTACACAAATATTAAATTGCTTATGCAATCAATAGTCATTTAATTAATTTTTACATATAAATTTTTTTTCTTAAATTAAAAAATTTATGATTTATCACGAATTTATGTTTTATGGTTTATATAATTAACATTAGTAACATATTCATATCTTTTTGAAGTATTATTATGATAAAATTCTAAAGATAATAACAATGATAAATAGAATTTTATCTGATCAAGTATATCTATTTGTTTCTTATTTATAATTATGAGAAATTTACATTTGTAGATGTAACAGTTTCTTATTCGCTTGGGGCTTTTTAACTTCATTCATTGATTTTTAAAGAAATTTATATATTGTATATGTGTATGTGTATATAGCTTAAGAAACTATCTCCTAAAATTGTTTGATAAATTCTTAGAAGTTTTGCTTCATTTTGATGTTAGTCTCATATCTATTTATTAATCCTTTGATGCACAATTAAGTTTTCATATATTTCATCTAAAAATTACAACACTGAAGATAATAAAAAAAAATAAAAAAAAATAATTATATTTATCTAGCATAACTCATTATATTTATAACCATATAAATGTTAATATCTTGAAAAATAAATTTGCAAAAATTAAATGTGCAATGCAATTTTGACTCCTAGTTCATCAAAGGTTTAATTTAAAAGTTTAAAAATTTTTTAATTAAGGAAATTATTGTGAAAGATGCAATATTTGATATCTTCTGTAAACAAATAATAGTGAATAATGCAATATATGTATATGTGAATATATATATATATATATATATATATATATATATATATATATATGTATGAATGGTATGTTCAGGCAGTAAGAAACATGTACAAATCCCTATAAAAGAAGAGAACAATCCAAGTTCTTCTATCAAAAAATGTTTCAAAGTAGAATGGCGTCTTGAACCAATGGGGGCAGGAGGTGTTAATACTGATAATTTGGCCGAATTTCCAGCTTTTGTATTAAATGCTGTCAAGGTAAAATTTATTAAAAAATTTGTTTTTTTTAATATAGCTTTTATATTGAAGATAAACGAATTTTTGCAACAGTTTATTTTTGATGTATGGATGCAGTATATACAATTTTTAGTTCTCATATGCAGGTGATGCATATATGCATTTATGAATGTCTTTTATTTTTATAAAGACAGGATATAAAGATTTGAATTTAATTATGGACAATAATCACATATACATGCAGGTTTTTGCAAAATATAATATCTGAATTTAATTATGGACAATAATCACATATATATGCAGGTTTTTGCAAAATAGAAAATATTTCTATTTAACAAATCCACCATTTAAAAATCTAATATATATATATAATTATAATGAGAGAAAAATACTGTCGTGTGAAAAACAGAGACAAGTCTTCACTTTTGTCAACGACTTATAATAAAAAACATTCTAAACGAATTTTTACCAAAATATATTATTTTTAAGATAATATATTGCAAGAATTATATATATAATTAAACAATTATTAAAATAAGAAAGTATCTTTGAAAAAATTGTCATTACATAATGTAATAGAATGAATGCAAAAAATGAATGCAATGAATACATTCAAAATCAAGATGTTGCTAATATTGCAACGAAATTAATAATAAGATAAAAGAATAGAAAAGAGAAAATAAAATTTAAAAATGTATACAATTAATTTTATATACATTTGTATATAAAATGTGCAACAATATAAAAAATTTTATCTTTCCATTGTGATATAAAGTAATGATAAACTTGATATAAATTTTCATCACTGAAGATACAATACGTTCTCTTCCTATGAAGAAAACTATATATAAAAGTTATAAATATCTTAACAGAGAAAATATACATGTATGTATATTATATTATCATGTGTGCATTATAATACACACCATTATGATTATTACAAAAAGAAAAAGTATAATAAATATTGGATATTACATTTTCTGATATACTTTTATATTGTATAGACATGAATATATTTTTTACAAAGAGAAAGAAATATGATGATGACTGACATATATACAGCACTTAGAGTTATTTGTACTATAATACAAATAACATTTGAAACTTGAATAATTGAATATACAGACATTTAAAGAATATATGATAGAATGTCTATGATAATGACAACATTTGTATTATATTATTATCCACAAATCAAATCAATGTTTACAAATCAATTGTATGTCAAGCGCTGCTTTTTGACTGCTTACATTTATTACAATGCTTATGTGACAATTTAAAGTGAGAAAACAAGTGAAGATAGCTCACAACACATTTATATTATGTACGTGTAACTATTGGAATATAGATTAAAAAGAAACTGTATAACAAGAACAATATTTGTGTGATGATATTTCATGATAAATTAACTGTATATACAATTTCAATAGTATTATGATTCAGTGCAAAACTTTATAATATATGAGCAAATGAACAGAATGTGCACACAAATGAGTTTAATTACATAAAGCAATGGAAACACTCGAAATGAGAATTTATATAAACTATCTATTATTCATTCAATTATAAAAAATCCTATGTATATAGACAAATACATAAGAATATTATTAAATAAACTTGTAAAATAGATTGATAACAGAGTGATGAAAGTGTAATATAATAACAATATAATATTATTGGAGTAACATAAAATTAATTATAATAATTGATACGTTTTTGCAATCTGATCATTTTAATATATATATATATATATATATATATATATATATATAAACTTAAATATTAACATATTATTATTATATAAACTTAAATAATTAATATATTATATTATTATATAAACTTAAATACTAATATATTCATTTAGACATGATTAAATTTACATAATAATGTGGCTATAATTGACATATCAATGGTTATTGATATACAGATATTTGAAGATTTTCTTCAAACAACTATATCAAGTCAAGATGTAATAACTTTTAATGAGAATCCAGATGATACATCTATGGATGATTCAAAGAAAGATCCAATGCAGGATAAAAAACAAATATGGTCGTGGTTATTAGTACGTTGTAATACTAAAGATGAGCTCATGCTCTTTGCAACTGGAAAGAATATTAATCGTAATACCATGGATCGTTTGAGACATATATATGAATCTGGTTTGGGGAAGAATTGTAATGTCAAATCCCTGTACTGCAAATCAATAAACAAGTAAGAATCAGACAAGATGAAGATGTTCTGTTTTTAAAGCAGTGAAAATTTGCATATCTCACTGCTTCGTTTCAGATACGATGATAAAGTTGTTACAACATTCTTAGTGGGAGCAGAGGCTCTAGACGAAGTCGTAGGTAATTTAAAATTGCAGCTTACGCCAAAGACAAACTTTTGGTCTAACGCTGCTGGTGCGTGGAATGTAGCTAAAACAGTCGCTGATATGCTTAAACCGACGGCAAAAACAACAATACTTGAAGTCGGTTGTGGAATTGGTATAATTGGACTTACAATAGCACCTGTAAGTACACGTGCAACTTGTGACAAGATATATATGTATAAGCGCGAGCGCATTAAGCAAATCAAATGACACAGTATGGCGTGTCATTCTAAAATCAAAGAAATCATGTATCTATATAAATGCGCAAATTAACAGCACAATTAATATAAATCATTGCATTATATAACAGAAATGTCGAGAAGTGATAGGAATTGATTCACCTTCGGAGATAGAAGAAGCTAAAATGACTTGCAATTTGAATAAAATATATAATGTATCTTTCATAATGGGATCTCCGTTCGAAGTCGTGAACAAGATAAATGCTGCGCGTGACTTACACAACAAAAATCGCGTGACTTATTGTATAGTCAACACAAACACCAATATGGGTAGAGGTATGCAATTCTGATTTTTTTTGATATTTTAATATTATTGGCGATTAATTAATAATAATTAAAATTTAGCGCGCACATTTCGGTCACAACGTGTCGTTCGATAATAAAATTAAAGTTATGATGTCTTTTAGCCATTGAAGTAATGACATCTTTACGAAAAATCACGTCTTTACGGCGTATCGTAATGGTCACCGCATTGACAAAACAATCGGTCCGAGCAATATTAGAACTTGCACGGCCTATAGAAAATGATCTTGGTCATCCGTTCATGCCAATTCGTGCATGTGTCGTTGACACGTTACCTAATGGGCCTCATTTCGATGCAGTTATTCTAATGGAGCGTAGATATATGCATAGACTTACACAGCCGTGGTTCCTTAAAATGTTGGAGGAGGAAAGTAAATCGTTAGATAACACTAGGGAATTGGAGCGAATAATCAATAACGATGGAACTGAAAGTTCTGATGTATATAAAGTTCTGATGAGAAAGAATCCACTAGCGAAAACCGAACTTGCAAAAAAATCCAAACTTTTACTCACAAAAAAAGCAACATTCACGAAAAGCGGTTCAAGTTCACCGGTAAAGGGTAAAATAAAATTGAAACGGGATCATTCGCCCGAGATAATAGAAATACCTAAAAAAGTGTCGAAGAAATTCGAAAAACCCGGATTTAAATCGTGGCAACAGGGTAAGTTTGATAATATAAATCTAATTAAACATTATACGAGATTATTATATACATATCTGTAATATATATATAAATTTTTTTTTCATTAATTAGATGTAACTCCTAAGAAAAAGAATTGGTTCCATGAAAATTCGGCACTTCGCATCAATCCGTTATTCGAGAAAAAGATAAAAGAGAATAAAGAACAAATCGATTTAAGAAAAAAATTGTCGAGCAACCGTATTGATGCAGATTTAATACAAAAGGTGAATGAAAGTCGAGAAATTCTCGAAGCTGCGAAAGAGAAATTGAGCGGTCCGTCTCCTACAGTTGATGCAATGACCGCTAAAGAATTAAAAAATGTCTTGAGTTTGGTTCTCGATCAAACCAATAAACTTCAGAATCAATTACCACGTTCAGTGTGGGATCGCATCGCCCCGGCTGGGACCGATCAGATAAAGAAGGATCTTGATGACGATCCACTATTGAAAGGTCGATTTGTACAAGAAACGCGTGCTCAGGATATCGTTATCACGGCGGCGAATAAGGAATATTTGGAGACAGGGGATGTTAAACCAAAATTTAAAAAATATCACAATTTGGCACCATTGGAACCGGATACAGTAATGCCAGTATCGGCAAAATCGTCTGACAACAGAAGTAGGCAACAAAATCAAGATAATTCCTGGAATAGGAATAAAAATTTCGATAAAAACCGTTGGAACGACGCAGAATCTGTAAGGAAGCCGAATTCTCCGATGAAGAGACAGGATTTATCATTTAGACATCGAACTTCACCGAATAGATTTTCACCAAAACGTCCATTATTGTCGCCACCGAGACGCCTGTGCTCACCGCCTAGGAGGCATCTCCCTCTGGATAGACCTTACGAAACACACAATTCTCCTTCGCACCGTGAATATTCTCCTCCGAGACGGCTAGCATCGCCGTTAAGACACATGGCATCTTCGTCCGGTGGTAGACTGCAAATAACTCCACCGAGACGTCCATTCTCACCACTTAATCGAGCTATGTCTCCGCCGAGACGGCCAATGTCACCGCCAAGACGATCGATGACTGGCCGACCAATGTCACCGATACGATGTCATATATCACCGCCGAGACTACAGTTGTCTCCACCGAGACGAGAAATATCGCCGATAGGAATATATGATTCATCCGCGAGGCAGATTTCTCCCATGAGGAGACAAATATCTCCCATGAGACGACCAATGTCGCCTATGGATCATCAAATGTCTACAGACAGAAGACCTGTGTCGCCGGTCGGTAGAATGATGTCACCATCAAGATCAAGAGACATGATTCCTCCACCGAGGCATCATTCGCCCGGTATGAGACGCTTCTCGCCACATCGAATGTCGTCTGGTATGTCATCGCCTCCGAGGCGACAGCAGTCTCCACCGAGACGTCAAAGCCCGCCACCGAATAGATTTGCGGACGAATGGGACATACCGAGCCGCGGCGCTATCGAACAAAGTAGCACTTGGCAACGATTCGTTAACGATAGACCTGAGAACGTTTGGCGTAACGAGAGGCAATCAACAACGAGCGGAAACTGGCAAGCTTTGTCCGATAATGATAGATACTGCAAATCGATAAACCAAGAGAAGTCTTGGGACGCTAGAGATGCCTCGTTTCACGGGAATTCGTGGGGCTCTAAGCAATCGCTCGCGAAACCTGGTGCGAAAGAAACGTGGCAGACTTCGGACAATAGATGGTCCGGTCCATCCAGATCGGCAGCTGGCGGGGAAAATTGGGGTCGCGGTAAGGAATGGATGAATATGGACAAATCGCGATCATCATGGGAACAATCTAATGACTCTTGGAATCAAGGAGACAAGGACGATTGGAATGATTTGCCGGAAGACGCACGAGATCCCTGGGGTGACGACGGTAATCTCGGGTTGAAAGAAAGATGGATGAATCTCGATAACCAGCCCTCATCGTCTGCTTGGTCGAGAGAAGCCGACAAAGGAGATCCATGGACAAAGTCTAAAGACAGTTGGCAAAACAAATCGCAAGCTTTTGCGGCAAAACAACCGTGTCAAAACAGCTGCCCGAGCATGAACGAATCGCGCTGGATACCTCTGAACGATGCGACTAAGAAAGCACCACTATCGACCAATTGGCAGGGAAGTAATAATGCTCCAGCGTGGCAGTCATCGAACTATAATTTTCCATCGCAATCACAACGGCCGTTTATGACTAATCCGTTTAAGGATCGACGTTAAATAACATATTTTGATGGAATTAATAATGATTTATAGATTTCACTTTTGACTATATCAAAAACATTTTGTTTATGACACAAAAAACACATATTTTCTTTTGGATCTATTGTTTAACTTAGTTTAAAAAAAAAATACCTATTGATGAGTTAAGGAAAATTATGTAATTGCAAGTTATATATTTATATACATATATATATATGTGTTAGAATAGTTATCTGTTTATAATTGTGAGTTCAATTATAACTGAAAAAAATAGTGCTTTTCTGTATTCTCACTCTCGCTTAAAATGATATTCATTATCATAATGATACAATTTATTGTTAACGAATTATTTTGATAAATTTTTCCAAACATATTCTTTTTAAGTAACAATTGATTATATTAGACACATTTAAAGACATAAGAATAGGCTGTATGCTTATTATAAGCATTGTACATACATAATTTTGCATAAACAAAGTTGATATATCTGTACGTATGTATGTATAATAACAGCCGCATGTATCTCCTACTGAATTTATTTCTGAAAATAAATTGCATTGGAGCTTATGTATTATGTATAAAATTTTAAAATATAGGATAGTGTTTGTGCCTCTTATTATATAATCATACATTACATCTGTACTAACATTTGGCTCTTATCAAATATCATTTATCATAAATTAAACGTGTAAAAACGTATAATGCTAATGTTTGTGCGTTTCTTAGTAAAGATTCTAAAATTAAAAAATTTATATGCTCTCGCACTCAACACGTATAGTACTTTGAAAAGTGTGTCTCCCAGGTAGAACATGAAATTCATAATGACATTATGACGTCACTTAAAAGTTATTTTAGAAAAATCATAATGATCTCATTTGATATACTTTTGGCAATGTTTTGGTGATTTTTGATATTAAACAATTCTAACGAACTCTGTTGAAGAATATATATACTTCGCGTATGAAATCTTAAGAATCAATCATAATAATATCATTTTTTATATATATTACGCAATTACTTGTTTATTTAATTATTCATGTATATTTTAATTATATTTAAGCAACATAATCTTTTTAAAATTATATAATGCGGTTATTGAACTTAAAAATTTATGATTCTTTTTGTCATCTTTAACTCATTTTTTAATCATTTCTGTTTAGGTAACTTAAGTGATAAATAAAATCATGATGACGTCATAATGATGTCATTATGAGTTTCATGTTCTACCTGGGATATTAATGTGTTAAATATTTTTTTTTTTTCACATAAAATTTCTATAAACAAGTACAATTTATATATTTATATGTTATACACAACATTAAATGTAATTTATAATATTTTGGTTATTATAACATTAATTATAACAAATATATGAAAATGTAAGAATATATAAATATGTATATGTAAATTCCATATAGTGTTATCAATATAGCATCTACTCCTCACGTCTTGTCACGTGATCAATTTTAGTTCACTCTTATTAGAGTGCAAGGATGAGCGGCGCTGAAACTGATTCTCTCCTCATTTTTAAGATGGAGTTTGTGTACCCTGGAGGAACCGGTAACGACGAGAAATGTTACTGACAAAGGTATTCTGATGAGAACCAACGATGACATTAATTCGAATCGATTGTAGATTAAATGTACTTATGTTATTTAACCTTTTCCTTAGATACCGTTCTTTCTCAAGAATGTTCTCACTAATGTCACTCAATGTGAATCAAAACATGCTGATGTTCTCGTACGTAAATTTCTACAAGACAAGACATCCTTCGTGAAATTTTCAACATCGATACAACAGAATGAGCGGCAAGATTCGACAACAGATCAATCGTCCTCGCTTTCGACGAACACGGTAAATTCAACGAAAAATTTATTGTCATTTTTCTATCGAATTGACTGTACAAAAATAGGGTTATTCTTTCTTTAGGGTACACTGGATAAATTATACAAAAAGATCGAGATTGAAGTCAGGGGAAATGATCCAGCAGTGTTGAAGAGCTATGGACAATTTGCAGTAATGGCCGCAAATTATTTAAATATCAATGTATGTAGAAAGTAAGTTCATTGATCGTTTGATTTTGATTAACATTTGATCAATTACTTAGATGATATATCAAAATGTCCTTATAATTGTAGCACAGCACCACATAAAGCTATTCATGAACGATGGACGGTGCTGAAATCTGCTCATGTTCATAAAAAGCATCGAGTTCAGTACGAGATCAGAACTTATTATCGTTATTTGGATTTTTTGAAATTAACTGGGTCAACAGCAGATACTTTTTTAGAATATCTTCAGAGAAATTTGCCAGAAGGAGTAGCAATGAAAGTGACCAAGGTTAAAGAGTTTTACAATTTAATAAAAAGATCTAATGTTTTTTTATGTTCTATTTTTTCTTATATATTTTTACATTTTGTTTAGCTAAGGATTTCTATTTGCAGGTTGAACTACAAAAGTTACCAGAAAGTATAGCTGCAAAGTGTAAAGAATAACTATAAACAATTGTTCATACAACCCTTATATTGTAGGTAATTTTCTGATATAAGAAAAGAAAATATATTTGAAAAGTATATTAATACAAATGTTTTCGAAAATCTAATCATGATCAAAATAATCTCTAACAAATTATTAGTATAAAAAGATATAGCAATTTTTTGGATATATTTGAATTTATACAAAATTTTATTGAAATTATTACAAATAATTGTAATGAGTTTACATGAATTTTTGTGATAAATTCAAACTTTGCGTAAGTCAAATGTTATTGGAATTGTTAAGTTGTAGGTTTGATGATTACTACACGCGGCGACGAATCAATTTTTCCGCTCGATATATCGCGCGGAAGTTCTGGTAACAGATTCTTTCTTTTAAAGGCTGATGGTCTTTCTTGAGACGTATCTATATTGAGAGTTCTGAGGGGTGTATCTGCCAACTGTTTGCCCGTGATTCGACGTGCGTGTCCATTACCGCGCCTCCTCATATGAGTCATACGTCGATAAATACCGCTCGAAGTTTCAGATCGAGAAGCATCGATTAGAGTCGTCACTGCAAAAATCTCAGGATCTCTCTGTTGTGTCTGCAACCGAGAGGAATTATCCTCGGTTTTACGCGAACTGATACCTTCGCCGTTCCTATGTTTCCTAATTAATTCCGCAGTGGCTGTACATCTGTGTAATATATATTCATTGTCTGAAATGAAAAATTTTCATAATTTTTTAATTATCCAATTCTTTTATATATATACACACACACACACACACACACACACATATATATATATATATATATATATATATATAAAATCGGTTTTTTTAAATCAACCATTCATTTAATCAATTATTCAATTGCGTGCATTCTGAGATGCAGAAACTGATATGACAGGTGATGACAATGAATTATATTTAAACATCCGATATTCTCAATGATTTTTACTGCATACATATGAAAATGATTTTATGAAAATTTATATTCAGTAGAGGTAATAAATCGATGTCACATTAAACATTCACATATTAGCTAAGCAATATATCCGGAAGATGCATAAAAAAATTTGAAAAACTATTTTGATTATTTTTCCTCTTTATGAGATATTTTTCGAGTAAATCTCTTAGATTTTATGTGGAAAAAATATGTAGATATTTTCTAATCATAATATATAATAAAAATAAAATATTATAATTTAAAGTTTTTTTAAAAACTTTATATATAAATCCGGTAATATTAATTTTATCTGATTAAATATCGAATGATTGTAATATATTTATTTGATTTTGAATTGCATTTGAAACTTACTTGAACGTTTTGAGCGATGACGATAATCCGCCAAAGAAACACGGGCCCAAATGAGGACTATCAAAATAACAGCTATCTTTTTTAGTATCATCATCTATCAGAAGATCTTGACAAGTAAACGGATTGAGTGGTCAAATATGATGAAAAACTAACATATGATTTTTACGAAGAATTAAACACGTTTGAATTTTCTACCGGCTCTATGAGAGGAAATCGTGGCAGCTACTGCAAGAGCTATCGATCGACTGTTTGCTTCTGAGAAAAAAGTCTCGTCACCGTAGAAGAGGGAACAAAACCGGACAAGACGTCGAAGCCGAAGATGAGGTCGTTCGACTTTGCTAAGATCTTATGTGCTACGATAGTATAAAACACGTGCGCGCTGTAGTAGATGTTAAATTAATTGGCTCTCCGACAGAGCACATCAAGCACAACATACTCAAGCGAAGCAGACGGAAGAAAGATCGCACGGTGCTCCTTTTTTCTTGTTTCCGAGGTAAACCGGTTTGAAAGATGGACCAGGTCGAAAGTCGGCATATTGCATTTGAATTATTTCTTTATTATTTCTTTTTTTCTATATGATTTTCTCGTATGTTGTTTAAAAAAATATTTATGTCAGCATCAAAACATGAAATCTTGCGTATGAGCTTAAAGTTGAATTTCTCGTATACGTTTTAGATGATGTTTATAAGGAAAACAAAACTTCCGAGTAAAATCAAGCCTGATTTCGTACAGGATGACCTTGATAGCCAGTTTCCACAATGTATTGAATCTAGTATGGTATTTTTAGCTTTGCAGAGATACGTTATTACGTCTCATGCAATAAGAAAGAGAGAAAGAGAAGATTTAATGATGTAAACTTCGAAATATGATTAACTTATAAATCAATTATTTTTTTTTTTTTTGTATTTATAAGATTACAACGAGAAATATAATAGATATACATCTTTATTTTTATATAAGGATATAAAAATTATATGCTAAAAAAAAAGAAAAATAAGATATATTGCTAAGAGTACAAAATGTCATGTAAGGAAACTTATAATTAGTGAATATATCTATGAATAATAATATCGCTTCGAAAAATCTGTTTTGCTAAACATGGAAAGCATGTCCTTCATAAATGTCGTTTAAGAAATTTTTACATGCATGTAGAAACATTATCAGAGGATGATCGTCTGAGTCGTTAAGATATGGAACGAGCATTAAAGGTAGAACCAGCTCCGGGCGACCCTGAATTTCTTTCCAATTTTACGAAGATAGTATCGTTCACTTTCTTTTGCAGCGAAACAATGCATACTAATTACAAAATTTTTAGATTGTATTATATGAACAAAAAGATTTCACATATATCAGTGAGGCTTTCGAGTACTAGAATATAATATTGCTAGCAACATTATAATTTTTCGTCATCGTTGAATCAGAAGTTAATAACCGCTGATTTTTATTGATGTCTAATACAGCAGTATTGAATAATTATTTATATACGTCATTCGAAAAGGTCTGTGAGATCAATCGTTACAAAATATATGAATGATAAGAAATGAGTTACAAATGTAAGCGCGTTAATTCAATCAGACCATACTTTAACGTAATCTATCTCAAAAGCAGTCTTTTTGCCATTGTCTTTTCTCCAACTTGGCAGCCATTCGTTTCGAGATTTCCAGAAATTCAACATTGCCTATAATTAAATAAAACTAATATATATATATATATATATATATTTTTTTTTTATGTAGAACCGTTTTAAAAATCAATCTCCTATTTTAAGATATCTATTTGAAGAACAGAAACTATATATGTAATATTGAATATATTAAAAGATTGATACCTTAGCCTCCACATTTTTCCATGGTTTTGGTATTCCAAAACTGGTCGTGTTATCCGGAAATACACGTATTCCACCCGCACCGACGCCGAGAGTAATATAGAACTATAATAATGAAAAAAATTATAAATTAATATCTAGTTTTTCAAGAATACATAGCTCTGATGTATATATTTCATATTTAAAATTAATTTATGTATGTGTATATGCTCACAACATAAGATAGAACATGATAAATATTTTTGTAGGATAATTACAATATTTTTTTATACAAGGTCACATCCAAGGAATCAAATGATATTCCGATTTGATCATAGTTAAGGTCATTTATATAATAATAACTGTTTCGGTTTCTTGATCAATGAAAAGAGTTAAAACCGTTTGAATTTCGGTTGTTTATAATTTTAATTATTTATAGTTTTAATTATTAATGTGGTTTTCTAAAATTTTTTTTTCATTTTTTTGTTTCTCTATTAAGTTACATAATATTTTATTTCTACTATTTCTATTTTTATGCATAATTTATAAAATTCGCTAACTTTATTTCTTTTTTATATATGTTATTAGAAAATCTAAAAAACTTTAGTTTCCAAAAAAATCATTTGTAAAATTTCGATTTCGATCAAGTTTTGGTTTAATTAAAAAAAACATCGGTTATCAGTTTTGCTCGCAATTTAGTCTAACTTGGAAAAAAATTGACCATGTAAATATATATATATATATATATACAAAATATGTATAGCTTCCTTTTCTTTTTACTTTTATGTTTCCTTTTCTTATATACCGTTTTCGTAGAAAAAATAAGAAGAATAATTAAAAACATAAAAAGGAAGATTTATGTATAGAAATATTCTATATATAATTATGTGAAATAATATTTAATTATATATAAGCAATTTTCTCTGGAAACTCACTGATTTACACTGACATCTGTTTTACAGCAATATTATTTGTGCCCGTGTAACAATAATAGAATTCAAGATGCACTGATGTTACCTCTTGATCGAATGGAGCATTTTTTCTGTTTGCGTTGGCTCCACTCAACCATTTTTCTTCGCCAGGCTTCACTTGGCCAACCTCTTCGCCATCGACCAAAAACGTGAAACCATCGCTAGTCCAGATAGTCGTGTATGTATGGAAATCCTGCGTCCATCGCGGTCCGAATTCGCGTAGCTTCGATACGATTATTTCCCGAACGTTTGGCAATGCACCTACTCTCACGCCAAAATCCAATCTTCGGGAGTCGTAAATTTTCGAAACATCTGTGGCGTTCACTAAATTCTCATTGCCCCGAGTTATACCCAAAAGAACACGGCCACTCGTATAATTTGCACCGTACGTATAATATTTTGGCTCGAGCCACATTTCTGTTAAAGTTACATAAGACGATATATATTTTTTGATTTCTTTTTATTTAGCGCAATACTACTGCATTATAAACTAATAAATACTAACAATAAATATTAATATTTACTGTAACAATTAGATCGTGCAATGTTATGACTAAATTTTCTCAAGATTTCTTTGACAGTTTTATAGAGAGTCTATTTTGTAGAAAAAGAACTACTTTAGATTGTCAAGAAGAATAAAAATTTAAAATTCTTTCCAGAAAATAAGAATTTCAAATCTAAATACTTATCATTAGAAAAATATATATAAATTGAAAAATATATTGATTGAAATTATTTGCAAGAAATTGGTAGATTAATAAAAACGAAATAGAATGAAAATAATAAATTTTTTGACATTCTATACATCAGTTGAAACATTGCTTTATTTTATGTTGCATAATACGGATTTTTTCAATTATCTTGTTATCTGTTGCAGTAAATGATGTATAATTACCTGGATATAACCAGTCACCCTGAGGAAATTTGGCACGGATTTCGATTTTTCCGTATCGCAAAACAAAATGTTCCTTCGTGGTAAGACGCGCAGATATAATAGGCGGTAAAATGCTATAGGATAATGCCTGTCGCGAGCATTCGTAACTAATCGTGCTGGTACATCTAAAAAAAATAAATTATATATAAAAGAAAGAGTAACGAGAATTTTCATTATAAGTAGAGAGAGATTTTGTCTCAGTGATTAACACTATTTACCTATTAAGTTGCATTCTTCCGAAAGCAGTCACGTTCTCACCATATAAATCCTCTAATATACTCGGTTTTATAAATAATTGACCATCCTTAACTTGTACAAGTTGCTCATGATTTTCATTGTGATATACGCAGAACTCATAGTCCTAATTTCAACAAAATTATTTAAAAAATAATATATATATATATATATATATATATATATATATATAAAATATATATATATATATATTATATATTATTTTTATATATTATTTTGTTATATTTTATTTTATATTTTATTTTACATTTTATTATATATATATATATATATATATATATATATATATATATATATATACTTAAAACATGTATCAAGCATTGTGCTAATCTTTCATCGTACATTACAATCGCATCATTGCTTTATTTTTTTTTTAACGATTCTTAAATGGTCTCTGAATCTCACCGGTATTAAAGGCATCTTTATTTCGCGTTTCCATAATGTCCTATTGAAGGAATCGAAATTATCCTCGAGCAATAGCCGTGAATATTTTTCTGTGGTCGGAATTTCATATTTTGATGTAGAGCTCCACGTAGTTTCTTGGTTTTCCACTGTTATTAATGTAAGAGATACGTAAAAATATCGTTACTTTTATTTTACTTTTTAAATTATAAATTACTGTAAATAATCTTACAGGAATGCGTCCACCTCCGGACGTCGCTTCTATGCTGAGTTCCATCCACTTGCGCATAAATCCAATAATGAAGTACATCTCTATTTTTTATAGTCACTTCCGAATCCTCGAAAACCCAGCGGTTGTTTGTCGTTAAATAGACATTACCAGCGATTTCGCCGTATCCGTTAGCGCGAATTGCTTTATTCACATTAGCGTGGAAACCAAATGTTCTTAAGCCCGGTGCATCTATTAATAACACATATAATGCATTTATAAATATAAAAACAATTCTTTCTTTTTATTGTAATCTTATAAATAAATTAGAATTTGATTTACAGTATAAATGTAACATTTTTTCATTATTTAATTATTCTTTTATTTTTCATTTTACATCATAATTTTATACACACATACACGTATACATATGCGTGTGTAAAATAAACTGTGTAAATAATAATATTAGTTATACGATACATGTGTGTATAAAAGCATGTTTAGCATTAGAATACGTCATTATTCCAAGAAAAAACATTTAATACCATTCGCTTTACAATCTCAAAGTCTTGGTTATCCCCGGGAATCCCCAAAGTAAATGCTTGAGGTATTTATTTATTTATGTTAATAATTAATAACTGATAATGTTAACTTCAATATTTGTTAAAATATAATTGTTAAAAAAACAAGCATAGAATATATACACATGTTAGTTTATTCTCAATGAGTTTGATAATTCAACTTGACACGACCCTAGCGATATTTTTGATAATATATACACTGATAGTGATTGCGATGTATATGTATGCGCGTATCTGTATTACATAAGTCATCACAAATTAGAGTTATATGCGATATAATTCTGTATAAAATGTATGTTTTTTTATAAATTCTCATCAAGTTAAGTAAAAGTCATATATTTTCGATATTTTCATAATTTAGCTATCAATATTTCTATCATTATATTCCATATTACATATGTAAAATGCTCTTTTCGAGAATATCAATGCTTAAAATTATTTTTTTTTCTTTTTCAGAAGAAGAAAAAATGTAATAATTTGAAACGTTAACTTTATATAAATTTTAATATAAAGCTTACCAGGTATGGAAACTCGAAGGCCTTGCGGTTTTAGTACTTCGAAGATCGGATCTGGCAACACGTAAGGAAAACCCGATTTCGCGAATATGCATATTAATGCGAACGTTAGCCGAAGTATCGCAAGATCAATTTTGCAAGAAAACATGTTTAAGACTACCAATTCTTGATGTTGAAATGATATTTATTAAGCGTCAGATTCGCGTGAAATTCAGAGAAAGACTGACACATGCACGCGCGTATCTTACATTAAATGATTTACTGATACTACTTGCTAGTGCATCATACATGTTCCTCCTTCTCCGTCTCTTCTTACTTTCTTTTATTCGTCATAGTCGTGTAAATTCTGTCTCGCTATCAGGGATTCCCTCAACAAACCCAACTAATATTAACGATGTGAAATCATTCAAAATCCCGTACAACTTTAGTCACCCTCAAATGATAATTAATATTGTCATATATTGTGACGAAGAAGATCCTAGGAAATCAATATATTATAAATAAATATATAAATATGTTACATAAATAAATATATATTTATGTTATATAACAATGATTGCCCGATATTTTTCTCGACATTCTACACATTACATATTTATACGCTGATAATATTGATTATCGAAAATTAAATTTGTCTTTTTCTCGATAATTTTATTGTTATATTCGACAAAAAAATGCTTACAGTCGCACGGAGTTTATTTGACGGATTTATCATATATTCTGATGCAACGAGTGACAATTTCGTTAAGTGATTTCCATGCGACCATAGTTCGGAATTTTTAATATCAAGGAATTATCTTTCTTTTTTAAACAAAGATTTACTTTTGATTTTTTTTTATTCTTAACTTTCGACTTTTTTCATTCTTAAAAATTATTACTTGATTTAGATGCTTTCCAAAATATTTCCAGAAATATTTATATTTTTATTATTTAATTATTGTTTAATAATCTACTGCTGGACTTGCGCAGTAGGTAATGCGCGGTAGTTCTTGTATTTACATGCAGTGATATGCCGACTATGCCGACATAGCGATGTAAACATGTGTCAGATGCTCAAGAAAATTTCGTTATATTAACTGGAGAGCTTGTTTAATCGATAAAAGTTCAAAGAGAGAAAGACTGTTTATCATGTTGCCTATCGTAACGAAATCGAGCATAATCTCGAAGTTAACTTGTAACTTGTTAAGTAAGACTTTGATTAAAAAACGCATCATACAACTAAATAAATGCAAAAGCTACGTTCGAGGTTATGCTAACCTTGATTCGTCATATTTTTCGAAGAGAAATCCTCAACCGATACTACAATCGTCTTTAAAAAGTTTTAGTTCAAATGCTGAACACTCGACAGAATAGTGAGTATCTTTATATTAATTATTATTTTTTAAAATTAATATTACAATATTTGCATATATTGTCAAAATTAATTTATGTAATTTTATTAGCGTACTTAGCTCTGTTCAATACGAGAAGATCTGTGAAGAAACTTTAGATTCATTAACTGAGTACTTTGAGGAATTGGTTGAAACAGCGACACATTTGCCAGATGCAGATGTATCTTATGGAGTATGCGAGTATTAGTTAAAAGATCTATAATTGTCATTTATGTGTATGTGTAATAATATATACAAAATTTTTACTGCAGGATGGTGTACTGACTGTAATATTTGGTGAGCCATACGGTACTTATGTTATAAATCGTCAAACACCAAACAAACAGATTTGGCTCTCTTCTCCAAAATCAGGACCAAAACGTTATGATTTTATAAATGGCCAATGGATATATAAACATGATGGCAAAACACTACACGAATTATTAAATAATGAAATACCAGCAATTGTGAAAAATCAAGCGTGTTTTGATAAATGTTCTTTTGGTGGTAAAAATAAACAAGATGTGTGATTAATGGTTTTTGTTCTGAGAAATGTTAATGGAGAGTTAATTATGATAGCTGATGTGAATTAATTTTCTTTATATAATTGTATGTGGAAGTTACTAAAGGTTAGATTTATGAAAAAGTTGTACATAAAACTAATATTATAAGAGAAGAAAATTTATAGAAGAATAAGAAGTATTATAAGAAAAGGAAATTTTTCAATATATATATATATATATATATATATATATATATATATATATATATGTATAGATGCTACAGTAAAATTATCATGTGAGTAATCTTAATATATCAAGTAATCACATATTATTGTACTGCATATTGAATTTTTGTAGTGACACATATTTATTGTTATTGAATTTTTGTAGTGACACATATATTTATTTATGCTTTAAAAAGAATATTGATTTATGCAAGTTATCTTAAAAAAGACATATAACATATTCATTATATAGATCGTGTTCCGAAATTGCTGCCAGTTTACTGCTAGCACTGAAAATATACGTAATGTGCACTATAGAATTTGCAGTACTGACAGTAATTTTGGAACACAGCCATAGTATCCATCATGAATATTTTTATGTTTTTTAAGAAATTTTAAATTAGTTATACAAATATATGTATATATTTAACTAATTCAATTAGTTATATATATATATATATATATATATATATATATGTATATATTTATATATATCATATATGTATATACATACATATGTGTGTACATATAACTAATTAAAAATTTTAAACTCTAGAAAAATTGTATATATGGATATATGTGTGTATATATATATATAACATAATTATAAGGTTTCTTTCATTAAATTAGATAATTGTATATTAAGCAACATTTTTTGCTAAAGCAAGATCATATCATGTATATATATTATATAAATAAAGTGCATTCTTAATTTCAATTACATTGCACCTATATAGAATTTGCTTAATATTTGCACATAGAAAATTATGCATAATGAGATAATTAAATCATATTGTTTGACAGTACTTATTTACTCTATATTATTCGATAGAGAGCAAAATGGAGATTATGGAAGATGGGAATTTGGTCGATCGCGTAAGAATTTTATTGCAACGAGATATGCAATATTACCAGGTACCAATTAGCTAGCTATAAATTATTTGCCATTAATGTAGTTTGTATTTTATATTATATTTGTTTTCAAAAGGATATGTAATATCGAAAGCGCTTTGTTTCGAATTTATTATGACATTATATTTGATTGCAAAAAAGTTGATTTATTGACCGCGGTTTTGAAACTGGAATACATATATGCGAATTGAACAATTCAATTATTTATCATTATTACGTATCATTTTGTGATACATACATGAATTTTAAATACTAAATTAATAATGCTAAATAATTAATAAGTTATAATATTTTAGTGAAATGCAAATTTGAATTAATTTATATGCGATATATTATTTACTCTAAAAATACGATACGCCGTAATTAACACTCATATACTACTCATATAATATTGTAATTTGCGATATAGGAAATGCAAACCGTTTTGAGAGAACCGCTGTGCCTACGCATTAGCGGTGGAAAACTCGATTTTCCACGACACGCTTCGTTCGCCGCAATAAAGATTGTCACATGGTGGGAAGCGGATTTTGTAGCCGCTTTTAAGCGTGCCTCTGGTTTAAGCTCTGCCGAAAACGAAAGCACGTCCAGCGTCGATAGCGAGGACGGTGTTATTAAGCGGATTCAACCGTCCGATTTTATTCTGCTTGTTGTCGATACCGCTGAACAATTATTAGGTACATTTTATCTCGATGACGAAAAATAAAATGAGATATTTCAAACGCTATCTAATAAAAAAATATTAATAGGATAAAATAAAAGGAAATTGATAAATATATATTAGGAAAATATTGATAAATATATATAAATTATAGATTCTTTATATAATTTAAATGTAACTATTCTAATTAAGCATGTTAAACTTTTAAATTTCAGTTTTTTATCTTAGTATAAATAATAATTATTAATATATATTTTGTATTTTTAAGATGTATTGTATGTGTGTGTGTGTGTGTGTGTGTGTGTGTGTGTGTGTGTGTGTGTGTGTGTGTGTGTGTGTGTGTGTGTGTGTGTGTGTGTGTGTGTGTCAAAGAAATTTAATTCACTTTGAAAGATCCTTGTCGAATTCGTGGAATAATACCGTAATTAGATCTTGGATTAAATTTCTACTTAAGAAAATCGATTCTAATTAAATAATACAATTTCGCTGTTGACTCTTGTCCCCTTTTAATTTACTTTGTATTTTTATCTCATCAAGAAAGTTGTATTTGACTTAAATAATTTTTTGATAACGGCACAATATTCTAGAGATTTGTAAACTTAAAAATATTTAAAAAAAGCATAAAGAGATGAAACGATGTTTTTCTTACTTTTCCATTTTCAGAACATTTGCATATGTTAATTCAAGAGTCTTTAGATCACGCCGATCTCACTGTGCTCACCGCCACTTTGGGCGCAGCAGCACTCATACGAAATTGCTTATGGTGTTACAATCAGCACACAAAAGGAACTATCTCTTCTCAATCAAGGTGCTTTTATAAAGCTTAATTAATTATAATGCATAAATATTATAATTCATAAATATCAGTGTTTAATTAATTATAATTTTTTTTAAATTATAATGCTGTGAAATTTTTTTCAAAAAACAGTATAATATTTGTAGAATAGATTTTAGATTTTTATTTTAATCTCACTAATAATTTATCTTTTATTTACCATCTTTTTTCGGAACAAAGTAGAATTTTGTTTAAATAATCGTTAAAAAAGAAAGAATTGATTTTATGCAATGCACATTATAATTAGATGATTATATAACACAAAAAATATATATATATATAAATAAATATATATATATATATATATATATATATATATAAAATTATTTTTTCTCAAAATTAAAATAAAATAAATTATTTTTCTCAGACTAAAAATATAAGACAAATAAAGAATATTTTTTAGTTTCATTTCCTTGTATTTAAAATAAAATAACTGTAAAAACTGTAGAAATGAACATTAGAATTCTGATAAAGGAGCGTTATGTGGCAACGATAGCATTTGCCAGCTATATGGAAGATCCTAAAATCGAGTTTAGTATCTTATTGTTTCTCCTATGTTGGAAAAGACTTACAACCGATAATCGAAGCTTCGGAGATAAGTTTTGCTTTTACTATCAAGAGAAAAAAAATAATAAGATTCGAAGGATTTTATATATATATGAGTGATGCAAAAAGTTTTGCTATTTAACCAGAACTAATCTCTAAAGCCGGCTCTAAATAAGGCAAAATATATGATTTATAGAATATATGAATATATGATTTATAGAATCCATTAAATCTTTTTTTTTCTCTTTATAGTGAAAAAATTAATAAATCCCACAAAGCATTCCACGAAATGGCCGAAGCCGTGGCAGAGAGATTGCTCGACCTACACTGTAGATTAATTTCGTTGTACATACTTAACGAAGCGGATTCTCTCAGCTGGCATAGCAACAAACCATTCTTTGAGAAAGAGCGTTGTTCCTATGTTGTACAGATGTGGTGGCTGTATATGCAAGGTAAATAAAATTAATATTAATTCTTATTTCTTTGCGAGTATTATAATTTCAGGACAGTATTTTACAGAGATAGATTTATAACGCTCCAATATAACATTTGCAAAAAACGAATACGCTAATATTTTCAGGTACTAAGGCGGATTTATGGAATACTGTCTCGCCTAAGATGGCACAGCGTGTATTTTCAGAAATGCTAAACGAATCCCTATCTATCATAACGACGCGATTCATTCACGTAAGGCTGCAATATATCACGACTAGTTTCGATTAATTTTTCAATTTATTTTGTTCCGTTGTTTCTCTGCGTAGAACGCTTTATTGTTACCATGAATCACGCAAATGAAACTCGTTTGAGCAAACGTGAAATTGAATTTTATCGATCGTTTTTTTTTCTTATCACTTGCATGCATTTATGCATTATGCACGTTCGTCCGTAATTTATTAACGTTTGAGTGTCATTTGTGTGTGATTCAGTAAGATGGAATAAATTAAAGAACGCAAATAATGAAATTGCAACAGGGTCGACCGTCAATAGCACGATCCGAACAATTTTGGTCGGACGCCTTTAATGTGCTCTGCTGTACGGGATATTTAGCTTTAGGTGCATGTGTCGATGGCGACGGAATGATAGGTGCACGACCGAGTAATTTGCCGACAGCGATAAGAGATATACATGCAAAGTGTAATGAATTATTAATTTGCTTGTTACTTAGAGGCACTCCTCTCAAAGAATTGTATCAGGTAAGAATTGTGTCAGTCTCTAGAGTGGTAGATTTTAAAAATATTTTCCGGTAAGTTGAACATATTATTTGAATATAAAAACACATTATTTTTATTAAATAAATCAATTAAGTAAATTGCAATTGTTATTTAAATTAAAATATTTTCCAACAAGTTAAATATAAAAAAACACATTGTTTTAATTAAATGTAATTATATAAATTGAAGTGCTTAATATTAAAATATGGAAATTGTATAAAAAGATAAAAAATATTACGTATTAAATTCTTTGTGCGATTTAGTGACACTTATTTGTATCATAAAGAAAAGTGTACATTTAGTATGATAAAAAATATCTTTCAATATTAAACGATATAAATAATAAATAAATAATTTCGTTATTTAGATCTTTCGACACGGATTGGAAAATTTGGCGATACTGCGGCCGCGACGCAGTCCGGCTCCTTGGCTATTAATATGCGCTTCGAATTTATTAGGATTAGACGCAACTGATTCTCTAGCTGACATTGTAACATTACCCGAAGATAAAGCTGTCATTCTTGAATTGAATGTCATGAGACATCAGCCTCAACCTAATTGGCCTCAACTGATGAAAGTAATTATTAATAATTAATTTTAAAGTTCTTTTTATTTTTAAGTCTTACATCTTATTATTATATATACGTAAACTTTTCTCTTGCAGGTGATATCGATGAACGATTATATCGTAGGCAAGATGCTATTAAAGACGTTAGTACGTCAAAATGTGGGCTTTACGTCCGTGGACGAGTGCGACGCACTTGACAAATCGAAGAAGGACGAAAAGAGTTGCGGTGGCTTCTTATGCAGTGGATCAGCGTGCGATAAATCGCTAAAAATAACTTCGGCTTTGGCATTATACAGCTTATTTCATGTATTAGTGGTAACCGTTAACGAGCCGGAGCGCGTAATTATACCTGCATTAAAGCAGGATCCGAATTGGTCCAATTATCTGGACAGACAACAGGTGCTTTTATGAAATATTATAGAAAGATTTAATCGTGTAAATTTATACCAACTCTCATTAAAATATTTAGATTGATTTAATATGTCTGATAATTTAAATTTATATATTTAATAAATGTGTAGGGAGTAAAATATAAAACATATGATTAATATTACAAATCGACGTTTTAAACACGAGTTAAGTAATATTTATTTATTTATACGGGGGAAATAAATACAGAAAAATATTTCTTACGTAAAATTTTGATAAATGCAATTTCCAAACAAATTCTTAATTTTATTGTATGTGCAATTTGTAATAATTTAATAATGCATCACTTCACTAATTATAATTTACTCATTATTTTAAAGGTTTGGAATCAATCAAGACCACCCTGGCTCAATGCCTTAATAAAGCCTCTGAAAATCATGATGCAACCGATAGTCGAGATGCTTTTAGAAGCTGCGAAAGTAATTGCAATGTATCATGTATGACATGCGAGATGCGCGTATCTAAAAGTTTAGATTTTTTTACAAAAATATTACTCATATTTAATCGTTTTTTTAACGAAAATTAATTTGTTTTTGGGCAAATCGCGGAGCTATAAGGGAAACATAAAATTGTGAAGTCTGATACGCGCGCTCGCCGAAAGAAGGTGGACATTTATTTAAAAATGCATTATATAAATTCTAAAAATTCAGACAGGTGCCAGCATATATCAAACCATGTCGCTGGCAATCGGTTGTTTCACCGAGTTGTACGTGACAGCTTCGACTCCCATTTTACGCGCGGCTTTCGCGCTCAACGATAACATTCCCGCACATTGTCGACCGATCGGCGGCAACGTGTTGCTTCAAATACTGTGCGCTGCCCTGTACTCCGGCTTTCTGGATGTGTCTGCAAAGAGCGGAAGCAATGATGTCCATGGTACACCGAGTTCCGAAAACACGAGCTGCGAGCTGAGCCCCTTTAATCCTTACGATAGATCGACCGCTGCCACTGCGCTCGCCGAGGCAATTTGCAGCATCGACGAGGACAACAAGCACACGGCGCAGATAGACTCCTTCTTGCTTCTCGTGAAAGACAGGTGCATCTCTTCTTTAAAGACTAAAAATTAATTATTTTCTACTTGATTATTTTTAACTTACTAGTATCTTCTGATTGGATCCAGTAGAAAATACAAATCGAAAAAGTATTTATAAATGCCTATAGATGTCTAGCCGTTTTTCCGATCTATCATTTGTTACTGAGAAAACGATCGATTTTCTTTTACAATTTTAACTATATTATTTAAACTGTATTTAATGAAAATATTTAATGAAAATATTTAATGAAAATATTTAATGAAAATATTATAGAAAAAAGCATATGAAATTTGCAGTTTCTTAAGAAAGATTTATCGATTTCAAAACTGCAGATTTATTTATCAAAAATTTGTTAAATGATTATTGTCAAGAATTATGTATTTTATGTATTTGTTATTTTAATAAACGTGTTAAAGGAATTATAGATTTATTGTAAAAATTCGAGAATGTATTGTATATGTTTCGCATTAAAATACATGTTATGCATATTATTATATATTATATTTATACTTGCATTTGAACTGCATTTAGCGTTAAATATGTAAAATCTCTGAATGAATCGAACTTGCAAAATTTGATTAAAATAATTAACGTAACGACTTAAGTTACTTCACTTGTAACTTGTTTAACTTAATATTAATTAAAAATTACATTTTTCGTTTTATTTTTTATTTGAGTAAAAACTTTGTTACAGCCTCAGAAGAGAAGGTCAAACTTCGAGAAACGACAAATTACAGAACATGACTTGCGTCATTGAAACTTACACGGACGAATTATTGTTCACAAGTACTGGACGACGTTCCTTAAAAGTGAGTAAAGCAACGATATATTATCATGCATTGATGCTCATATATTTACTACAGTAGAAAAAAATGAATAAATTGATAAATTGATATGGTACATGATTAATTTTACGTGTCAGATTATATGCGAATATTTAGTCCGAGCATCCGATTGGGTATTAAATAATCTACGTTGCGACGAGAAGAACAGACAGATGGATTTGCTGAATCTGCCAGAAGTCTCACCCATCATAAAACCTCTTGCACACTTGATGTTTCATATCGAGGATACCTGCTTTGATCAGGTTAGTAATAAAATTCTGTCCTCTTAATATAAATTATAAATTTTAATATCTATTAGATATCTATTAGAGCAAATTTGTTTTGATTATAATTAGTATGCATATATATTATATATTGCAAGTAATTTTTTATTTATAATAAACACATGGTAAATAAATTGAAATTATGAAAATATTGCTTTAAATTACTTTAAATTCAATAAATTGTTCATATATTTTATTCATTGATTATAAAACGTCAAAAGAGAGAATCTGTAAATAGCATATCTGTAAATGTGCATATCGTATTGTATTTTTAAATATTGCACTTAAAGCATCATACAAGAAATATATATGAGTTTTCGAGAAATGTTTATAATTCTATACAATTATATTGCAAATAATCATATATATATATATATATATATATATATATATATATATATATATTTCAGTTTATGGTTAATTACGAAGCAACGAATTGGGCAAAGATATTAACGATGCCTTTGTCGATTACTTTGGAGCGTGTACGAAGTCAAGTTCTTTTAAGACCAGAATTGAAGAATGTCGGAGATCTTAGTCATGAGGATAAAGAAGTGGTGCAATCTATCAAAAGAATTTGTTCATTTGTCAGGTCAGCACGTTTCAAATAAGTGATTACATGCATATTTAACGTTAAGTAATATCTTTTTCCTATAATATCTATTTTCTAGTCTTGCATTATTTTAATTCTCTACAATTAGATTATATTCATTGAATAATATGTATCTTTAATATGTATATAATACTTGTCTAAAATATCATACAATGCATTTAAGTCAAATATTGCAAATGTATTTAAATCAAATATTGTAAATTCCATTCTCAAATCGAAGTGTGTTTTTTTAGGTGGGATTTTTTTCCACTGTGTTTTTTTAGGCAAACTTTTCTTTCCGGCGTGTTTTTAACTTTCAAAAATCTTTGTCGCGACTTTACAGTAATCTATCTTCTTTCCATTTTGCATAATGTATTTAAAAATATACGATCGTGCAATTTCATCTTACAAAATAATCGTGAAAATTGTTCACGTCACCGAAAGTTTTTAATTCTAGCTTTAAGAGGATGTCTAGTTTTTAAGTTTACAGATTTTTTAATCTATCTTGAAAGAAGTAGAGAATCGTTTTAATGAATAAAATATTTCTCCAGTCTCTTTTTTGTATTTAGATTACCACATTGAACTTTCTTAACCGTATCAAAAGTTTAACTATTATTATCTTATAAAGCAATTGTGCATCGTTGCGTTAATAAAAATGCATCGAGGCCATGCAGTATATTCGCATGAAAGCATTCCGTCTTGGGATTCGTGGGGAATCAAGAATCTTGTAGAACACATTTGCTGCAGAGGAATAAATGTGACACAGTGTTACATAATAATTTATTTTTAATTTTGCAAATTGACATATTCACACATTTGAGACGCGACCCTCTTTTTGCGGCAAATAACTAGTCCGTATTTTTTTCTTTTTTTTTTTTACACATATATATTTCAATCGTCAATCTACATGCACCAAAGATTTTGCGATCGGCCCCCTTAATACGCGTGAGATTTTTAAATTGTCATAACAGTTTTATATAGCCCGCCCTGTATATATTTTATAAACAGTGCAGATATTTTTTATCATGATACAACAATCATATTATTTGGCACATTTATCGAAATACTACGCCTATTAATTTATCGATAGACCAACAGGCCAGCTGTTGAAAATTATAATATCCCAGAAGTATTGAATAACGTAAATAATTTCATACATAAAAAGATGTTTCATCTCTCTTTGAAGAATATTCAGCAGAAAATCGATTCGAAATAGTTCCATTATGGACCAATAAAAGCTCTTGAAGGATTTCGTCTTAAATGGGCAATAAAACGCCATGTCAAATGTGTTTTAATGCGAATTTAATTTCAAAAAACTTGCTGATCAACATATTAGATGTTGATAATGGAAAGATCACTTTTAAATTTTTATAAATTGCATAATTAATGTCAAAATTGTTTTTTCGGTTTAAAGATTGAATTTTAATTTTAATTTTGAAATAATTCAACATCAAATTTATTTAATACATTGTCGGTAAATCGCTTGAAAAGTTTGGGATATCCTTTGGGATATCCTTTGGGATATCTTGTATATGTCATCGCACAGGACGCAAATTATTTCTATGTTCTGTGCCGATGTGCATGTAATTAAACGAGAGACCAATTGCTTTCGTAAACGATCGAAGTGTTCAAATTGTTATTCCCACCGAATGAAGGACTTAGGCCAAGTGTCCTTTTACAGCGCTGCCATTAATTAACGAAAACGACGAGGTAAAATGACCGTCGTCGGTATCGTTCAGAAATGCCCACAATTATACGAAATAAATATAAAGTGTCTTTGAACTCGTGAAACATGAACTTGAGATAAATTATTCGTCTCGTAAAATCTCGTACAAAACGAAACGGAGACGGTTACGTCAGTTCCGAGAACGCGTCGTTAAATTTAATTAACACATGTGGAAATAACACGCGCAAATAATATATAAAAGACACAATATTTCTCTTCACTTTTAATTAATTCTTTGTATTGCACAATTAGGATTGTGCAAATTAGTTTCATTGTATGCTTTGCTCCTTTTAAAGAGTAAGAGACGCGAGAGAGGGAAGCCCGGTCAGCGAATAAAGTACGCACGCATACACACGCACACACGCATGCACGCACTCGCACACGCGCACGCGAGACATGAGTTATACATAATATTTTATACAAGACAGAGTCGCGTTTTCATCAAGAACGAATTGAAAAGATGTCCCTGGATCAGCTTCGCCGATTAATTGTTGTCGTCGTATCCCGCCACCGCGCCCATAGGTCTCGGCAGAGCCCTCGCCTGAAACACACCACGAAAATGCTAATTACTTAATTACTCGTGAAAATCCAGTTAATTGTGCACTGTCGCGATTCACTTGGTTTAATGTCGAACAAAGCCGAAGAGAATATTTAATCTATACAAAAGGTATTCTTTATGCGTCTGCCGTTTTTGTATCAAATAAGAAAGAGAGAGAGAGAGAGAGAGAAAGAAGCGCTATGAAGCATAAAAATATAATAAGAAGGAATTTAAAAAATGCAAAATTACTGTAATAACAAGGAATTAAATGCAAAATTATCATTGAACGATCAAAATATCAATTTAATGATATATATAAACTGAGAAACAAAGAGCAAGAAATTATATTGATCGAATACACGTGTGGTCAATCACAAAACATTGACAATCAAGTGTAATTTGAAAAGACTTGGTAAAGAAATATAGAATTCTTCTAAATGACACTTAATACGATCTTATTAGAGGGAAGAAATTGTGAGGCATGATTGAATAGGAAAATGGAATCTAATTTTCTTCTACACAAGATATCTTTCCTTGTCATTATAATTTACGTGATATACATTTTCAATAATTTATCCGAGTTATATCTTTGATATAAATATGCTATGTAACTTTGTGTCTACGAATGATCATCTTTATGTTTCACGCATATCGTCGCGCATATCAAAATATTATTATAAATTATCCTTTCTTAAAAAGTAAAAATGTCGCTGATTAAAGCAGTAATAAGACTTTACCAAAGATCAGTAAATATATTTCATTAAAAAATAAATTATTAAAAAATATTAACTGATCTTATCCGTAAAATTTCAATTTTTAGTGCTATAATTACAATTGACCACTGCTTATGAATGTGATAATACATTGATTCCATTTAAAAGAGTGTCATTTCATTAATATATAATATATAAATATGTAATATATAATTATTTATATAAAAAAATATTATATTTGAGTTACTAGTGCAAGTTATATATATTTATAGAAAAAGAAAAGAAACGTGTGTCGTGTTAAATCGTTGACAAATCGATATTGCTAGTGGTTTGCTAATACAAATAAAAATTTCAGTACGTTACATCAATCTTGAAAATTTGTACTTGTCATGCTTGTCGTCGTCGTGATTGCTGACAATACTAAAGTTCGTGGTGTCCCCCATTTGGGGAGGAGAACTTTTTGCGAGGAGATAATTATCAAGTTCACTGAGACGAGAAGAGTTCTCTCCCTTGTAACATATTCAAACTGCGCGAGGAAGAAAGTCCAGTTTCTCTTTGTTGGAAAATTTAAGCCCATTTTTCATTAAATTATCATGATCGTTTCAAGATGTTTAAACGTCTCATGATTCTTCACTGCTAGCTAACTTATTTTTTTTACACAAGTTAACGAAATATCGTCTTATCCAAGTACAGAATAAATAACAGAGAGAGAGAGAAAAAAATCTTATAAAGTAGTAAAGAGATCGCTTTTATAATTTATTTTAAAATTAACTGAGAAAAGATGCAGTTTTCTCTATAAATAAATATTTAAGATAAATACTAAAAAAATTATAGAAATACACCGGAAGAATATAAATTTGTTCTTCTACTGCGACGTAACTTTGTACATGAAAAATCGATGTTAAATGATTTTTAATGATTTTCATTGTCCTTTTTTCGAAAGAACTGAGACATCGATTCTTTCTTTGGCTCTTCCACTGCGCGATTAAATCTAGTGCTTTTTTTACATATTTGTACATCATATTGGCCGCAGAAAGACATTCTCTTCGACGTACAGACGTGACAATGTATCTTTGTTAGAAAAAGGTCGCGTGCTTCGTCGAGCACAAGGTGACATAAAATTATTCCGTCAGGCTTTTGAAGACGAAAATTCCGTATCTTCTTTACACTGTATATCATATACACTGTATATTAGCTTTTCAGAAACGACATACTACAAATTATGAGACACATATTTCTATAATACATATCATGCATATAATGTTCATAAAATAAAATTCAAAATTGAAATAAAAAGAATAAGTAAAATTGATTTATTATATCTTCTTTTGCGTGTAGATTCGAAATCAAATTGCATTTCTTTCAAACTCATATATGTATAATAAAGATGCGAGGAACGCACCAATTTTTAGTAATTATATATATGCATTCTGTATCCGTATAAAATGCAATTTGTTGTTCATTTTTCCTATATTAAAATGCATGCATTAAAAGGAAACGAATTTGTCTCGTTGAATATTTATCTTGGCGTTTTATTAAAAGAGAGACGTTAGATATGAATTAATATATGTATATATATACATAAACTTTCTCAAAGCGAAAGAGCTTTTACTGCATTTTTTTTCATGTATCATCTCTATGAGATATATATTTGATAAATAGGGCATCCTTACATTGCACAAGTAATGAATATTAACAAATGCTAAAAGGAAAATTGTTTATCGGCTGGTGTTGAGATATTTTAAGCAGAACAGCCTTTTGCTTTCACGAATATAGAGCCATGAGAATTTTACAAAATTTATCATAAACAAAATGTAGACGGTTTGTTTATATTTTCTAACGATTTCTTACAACATCAAATATGGTAAAATAATGAATAGAATTAGAATAATGTATACATATGGAAATAGCATTGTTAGAAAAGTGATAGTAAATGGAATTTTTTATTGACGGATAATCAGTTCTAAATTGATTTTTAGATGGAAAGAAAGTGCGAAAAAATTGCACAATATTAGATTATCAACTGATATTTTTTGTATAAAATGTAATAAGATTTTGATTTTGCCTGATTCTTGTCTTCTCATTTTAAAACCGAAATACTCGAGAGGAACGCGGTTTCAATTTCCTTATTTTTCTAACTACTGTATCATAATCTTTGTCGTATTGCCCTGCGAGACAATGTACATGTATATCGCGACTATAGTTTGCTTCGCAAGAGTTGCTTTACTTTCGCTAATTACGAGAAAATTAATTTCCCAGGAAATACAGGCCACATTAAGATAGAATGCAAAGAGGATTCGCGAAAAGCATTATGAATTAAACTGTACGCACTCTAGAGACAGAAGTAATTCCGTAATTCAAGCAAAACATATGTATCTCTCGAAGAGAATATTCATTGTTATCAACATGCTAAACGCTCATTACTAAATTACGAAAAAATTTGTGCAATTTTTTTTTATGTTAGTCTCTCTTCGCGATCGATTGTATTATGTCTTGTATCATTGTTAAAATTTGTTTTAAATGTTCAAGTTATAATTTAAGATGCACGCAAAAATTTATATTATTTAAAGTAGTGAGTATTAAAATTTAATAAATATACATATAGAATTAATCTTGACTTGCATATTTAATCAAATTAATGATTTCAATCGGTGAATAAATATCTTTGTATACAAAAATTCAACAAGTTACTAAAATACATTGATCTCTCTCAAGTTAATATCTTCCATGAATTTACAATCATTATATTTAATATTTAATTTTGTCGTATAAAACTAACGTAAATAAAAATGTGTAATTTGAAAGATTTAATATCATAATTTAATTGTAGATGAAAAATTATATAAAATCATTAATAAAGTGGAAGATTATATTATAGAGAACTATAATAGCCCAAAGTTATCAAGTTTAGTTTAGCATCAAGATCTATAAATATCGGTGTAACCTTTCTTATTTGAATAATACAAAACACAATAATATAATATTTTAATTAATTTTTCTTGGAAATTATATCGTGTTGTAAAAAATATACTAGAGACAGACGCAAACAATTTACAGAAAATATAAATTGAGATTTTGATATATATTTATTTGTACCGCAATTTTCAAAATTGAGTTGGTATAATTTCGAAAAAAAAATAATTAAAATATCCTTTCAAAGATGAAAAAGCTTCACAATATTTTATGTTTTTCTTTTTAAACATATATAAAATCTGAGATGAAACACTTCGCGATTAATGTTTGAGATATTTTATGTTTTATCATTTTCTTAAATAGAATCGGAGCATTATCACTGAAAAACGCAATTATTGGTGATTTTAGTTATAATTATTGTACTAAATCAATTGAATCTAATTGAAAGAATTAGTTAATGATAATGATTGTTTCAGTGATATTAAAAAAATGCAGCTTATATATTATGATATTATGTATGAGATAAATTTATAGCAAGTTTCATTTCAAATATATTATCATTCAGATGTGTTCTTCTTTTTAAAAGTTGCAATACAAAACAAATAAATAAAACTCGAAAAGCTACACCTGATAAATATGTATAATTATTATATGTGACATTTCAGTGAAATATTACTCTCATATGTGAATATTTTCGTTGAAGATTAATGAAATACTCGTTAATCTTCGGTGAAATCTTGTATCACTGCTTTAATCAGTGATATTTTGATTTTAATTGAAGAGAGCATTAAAGCTTTATTTTTACAAAGACATTTATGCGCAATTATGTCTCTTGATAAAGAACTTACGGAGACGTGCGGTCCAGAACGACCAAATCGAAGACGCAGCGACGGAGATCGCTGCGACTTGCGGATCATCAGGTGCTCCAACGGGATGCCACCAAAACCAGCGTTATCCAACGTATTGCGTTGCAGCAGAAGCCTGTACAACTCGTGGATATTTTCCGCGGGCGTTTTTTCCGCCATCTCTTCTGCAACACATAATATAATCGTCAATCACCGATTACCTATCGACAGGAGACGAATGAATAACGATGAAACACGCCTATTCCTCGTCACTATCGCGATATCGTGAACAATGTCAATATAATGCATTGACGTGACTCCCGTTTTGATAGGGTTTAATCGCTCACATTTTGACATGCGTGAATGATGTATATCAGCTATCGCATCATGTTGCTATCATGTTCCGATTGCCATCAGCAAATCCTATTGCGAAGAAATCTCGAAATTCATCATCGAATCTTTTTTTATTATCGACAGATCAATAAATAAAATTGTCAATTGTCAATTGTATTTTAATTATGCCTTGGAAAACGGCATTAAATTGCTTGATCATGATCAATATTTGCGTTAAGATATTTATCTTACAATTTTGAAAACAAAAATATTTATTATTGATGAAGCTTGATCTCTGGAATGCTCCCATGCGATCTTTCCATATGATATGTAGGTGTCGTGTCTTATTTCAAAAAAATGTAAATCAAGTGCGGGTGCATCTATCTTTTATATGAAAATGGAAAGAAAATACGATGCTTTTTACAAGTACATCCGTTTTATGCGATATTAAAACGTTTTACGATAAGTAACATTTTCCATATAAGAGCGTAGAGCCCACTATACCAATTGGTGGGCGTATAGTTATACAGCTATACTATCGTATATAATCTATATGTTACCGCTATAACGATTATTTATATTTATTAGTTCGTATAAATCGTCTTATGAAAAAAAAAAATTTCATCGATGCTAACGTTATTCGACGTATCATTTATCGTATACACATATATTGTATTCAGAACTATGGCTTTTATTATATAATATTAATTTTATTTAAAAAAAAAAGCAATATGTATCTTTTGTATTTTATCTCTACGAGATTATAGAGACAAAATATAATCTCTAATAATAAATTTTAAAAGACAATAAGGTCTGAAATTTAACATGAGCTATGCTGTTAATCATCAAGCCTGAAAAATTACTTTTACGTTTGTTCCACTTTTTTGCCCTTAACATAAAGTATATTGAAACTATAATAATGAGAACTAGAAGAGAATTTTTTACATTACATTAATTTTCATCTATTTAAATTAATTTTTATTTTATTAAAATAATTAATTTTTATTTTATTAAAATAACAAGAGGTGTAAATTTTAAAGCTATATATATTTTTATGTTATAAAAAATAGAAAATGTGTATATGTATCTGCAGTTATTTTTAGATACCGATTCGACGAAAGCTAAACGAAGATAAAAAGCGACGTTTGTATTTTAAATATACGGAGTACGTGTCGACCTTGCAAGAATACAGAGGATGGAATTTTCCCCGCATGTTTCGATATCCCACAAAGGCAAATAGGTAACCATTTTCCAATTGGATAGACACTTTTGAACTTTGTGAAAAACTTTGCGAATAAAATTCGAAAGCGCGATGTAAAGCACATGCGGTTTTTCATCGAAAACCGCACCGCACTCGTACACGCAATCGACCCAGTAGTTTCTATAGCAAAACAAATTGCAAACAAAAAATACGAGAAAAACATCTATTGCAAAGTGATATTTTGCAAATTGATATAAGAAAAATGAAATCGACAGTACGAGTTTAAATGTAGATAGATAGGGCTATTCATCACACCTGTTGACTATCGCAACGCTATTATTGCCTTTTCTGCATGTATAATGCGGATCGTTACGTTAAATTTTACTATTTTCATGAAGCTAAATAGCTTGCTCTTATTTTGCTATATAATAACTTCTCCCCGAAGCATTTTTGATAAATAATAACATTGAAACTGCGAAATATATCGTTTCGAAAAGAAAAAATTGACGCTGTTCTTCTCTGAATATAAAAAAATGATTAATCGAAATGTATATACTAAACTATACAATCGAGCGGAACTAATTTCGAAATTTTGTGCCGCTCGATCGAGCGTTTTTACAGAAAAAAATATCACGTATTTAAATTCGTCCATGCATGAATCACTGCATGAAACGTATCGATCATAAATGCCTATGTACGATAAAAAGATCTTTAGATAATTTGTTCGGAAACGACGATGTCATAATAATGTTATTTCGAGAGGGATTGTTGAGTGACAGAAACACCTTTTTATAAGCGGATTGACTGATTTGCGCGCGAAATTTCAAGCAAAATAACGTAGGATCGAACTATAACGAAATCCTATCTTTTGTGTGACACGAATAATATTTAATCTTTAATCATTCTGTGGCTCACAAACATAAACGTTTCTGCCAATAAATGAGAATAAATGAATCTCGAGGGAGAGATCGCGTTCAGGATGCCTGTATTCAATGTTTGATTCGCAATGAATATCGCAATTAATATCACGCAAATCGAAATGAAAATTATTTCTATCAACTTAATATCTTATTTTTGTGATTATTATTTTTTTAATTATTTTAGAGTCTCTCCTTTTTTAAGTTTAATTTAGATTATTTAAGTTTGTTTTTTTTTCGAGAAATGTATCTATGTAAGACTTTGTAATTCTTTAAATCTTATAAATCTTATTAAATTTTCTCAAATTTTATTGCTCAAGTTTTTCACTTATGACTATAACATTCACTTATGACTATATCATTCAATTCTACGTATCTGTCGTTAAATCTGTCTGGCATTATTTTTATTAAACTTATCGATTATAAATATCTAAAAACCAAAAGACCCTAACGGATAATTTTTTCGAAAATGGATATAAATTTTCTTTTTTTCCCTGAAAAGCCTAAAATTGATCCTTCCTTCTCATTTTATTCTATTTATCACTCTTTTTTGCAAAGTATAACTGGACTTTTTACTCGAAACGCTAAATATGTCTCGCTGAATATGTCTTTCATCTTTATGTCTGAAATTCTCCCTTAATATCTTAATATTTTATTTTACAATTTGCTTCATATGGCTCGGAGAATATGTCATTAAAACTACGCTCGTGCAAGTTATGAGACGCTCTGCGTATTATAATATAAGAATTATGATATATGAATTACCGAGTAAATTATTTTACACGTGAGGCTAAAAAAATAATTTCTTAGAGTAATATAAGAAGACATATTAGCCGTTGTATTACTGAGCAATATAACGAAAAATTTAATTAGACTTATGCTTTTTTCTATAATCATCTCTAGAAGCCCACCAGCTTAATAAACTATCCTTTGCGATCATTAATTATTGTAGTGATAGACGTTGGCGATGGTCTCGTGTTGATACGCATTACCGGTAATAGAATACAAAACATGTTATCATGCCAAGTGAGAGTAAAATTTTAATGAGACTTATGCAGAGCATGACGAGGAAATAGCTCAGAAGAACACAGAGTTACATCGGAGAAGCGAGAAATATTCATTATAAGAATTGAGCGATGTCGCGGATTTATCAAGTGAGTTTCAAACAAGTTTTAACAAAAACATAAGAAGCTTATTTCAAAAATTACGGATAATCCATAGGTACATAATTTCTAGTGCCACTTAAAGGTATAATGCGAATAAAATTGCCTAATGCGTTTTAACAAGATCGACTTGAAAAATGTTAAATCTTTCGCCAGCAATCCATAATTCCATGGTTTTTTTTGCACCCACAAATTAATTAATTATAAGAACATAGAAAAGATATCTGATAATTAAAAAATACGAGTTTATCGACAATTAATTATTATTAGCAATTAATATTAATGAAAGTTTGATTAGCAATTAATATTAATGAAAATTTGAAGAAAGAGAGGAGAGAGACAAGAAAGTTTTTTGTGATTGTGCGACAATTCCATTAATTGGAGAAAACTAAAAATTTTAAGAATTTAAAAATTAAAAAAATTTTAAATTTCAAATTTCGGAAAACGTGTGACTTACCTCCGTAATCCATGTAATTCTCGGTGGCGTTTACGAGGCCAACTGTCACAACGAGAAGGACGAGAGCGGCGCAACGTTTAGCATACATGGCGCTCATATCTTCTGCAATCAAAACGGATTCTCGTTTATTTTTTATATCGATTTCGCCTAATCTAATTTAGCTTTATATTGAGTGCGCGCATATGTATCAAACATGTTATCTAATCAACGTAACGCAATGAACGATTTTTTATTCTGTGAGAATAAAAGATTGTCGAATATTTCCTCATAATTCGAACGCAATAAAATGTAACGCATAATTTCGTTTCGTTTTATAGGAAGCTCTTTTTGCATTATATATATATATATATTCTTTCAAAAATTATATAACACAACTGACATAATGACATAATGACGTTGCAAACGTTTAACAAATGAGATAAAGTAAATTCAAGACCGCCTACGGTAACATACGCCAAGTATGAACTTTACCATTGAATAACATCGCCGAAGCAAGAAACATTACCTTTAAAAGCGCAAAATCCTCCAAGCGACGTTATAATAATTTTATCAAGAACATTCCGCTAAATCATCTATCTGTTATAAAGAGCCAAATGTAATGCTTGTTTCAAAGTCACTTGGTAAATTCGCGTCTTTTATTACGTTAATGTGTATAAATTAATATTATTATCTGCTATAAGCTTCAATTATTTTATTGTAGTTATTTTAAAGTAGCTTTTTTATGCAAATTTCTACAATTGAATTATTTGTTGCTGAATCAGAACATTATTTATGAGAAATTATAAGGTGAAAAATATAATTTGTATAATTATTATTAATCTTAGATCTTTTATTTTTTCCGAATCTGTTCTTCTCCTTAAAAAATGCTATTTTTGCTACTTCATTTTGAAAAGGAATGTTAAATGGCGAAAATTGAAAAAATAAAAGTTAATGAATAATGTAAAATTTATAGTTATATGCTATAATGAAACATTAATCTATAAATAGATCTATTTAAAAAAATTAAATATTAACGAGAAGAGCAATATACGCTGTATGTGTGTAAAGATTTTTTATAATTTTTTTTTATTAAAATCGATATTTTAATCTTGAAAGACTGAGAAATTACACGATACATTTGCAGAAATATATAGCTCATGTAAATTACATCGTTTATCGAAAGATTTTCTCAATTTTTAGAGCTGATATAACGTATATACTATTTTGTAAATCTAACTCTTTAAATTTTTATCCAAAATTTGGGACAATTGTTTATCGTCAATATATTGGCATTGATGAATTTCTCGCATAGGACAAATATAGCTAGTTTTTTACTAGCAGATAAGAAATAATATTTCAAGAGCGTAATTTTACCGAGAAAATTTTTCAACTCATTTTAGAGCATAAGTTGAAGTGCACCCACGCCCTCGATTCACAAGGGGTCACGTTATCGGTGTCATCAAAGTTAAAATATTAACGAGCCATATATTTCTATATGCTCGGTACCTCTAGTCAGCTATCTTAGTTATTTATATCGTGTAATAGCTAGGGAGTAGGAGGAAAAAAACCATCGGCCTCATCAATCCTGCGTTTTTTGAATAATTCATCAAATTATAATTATGATTCTTCTTAGATTGAGTCTACCGTGAAACGACGTGCATGGATTACGCAAACTATGTACAATTAAGTGCATATATCTGCTAATTCTTTTTTTTGCACAACACTAAGCTGGATGACATTTAAGAACAATATCGCGTGAATGTATATGATATCCCCACATCAAAATCATATCAGGACAATCCGTGTAACGCTATAGAATTAACATGACTCAAAATGAGGCTATATATTATACACATATATGCAGACATGATGGATCTATATTACAATGTGCGTAATTCAGAGATATAACCGAGATATTAATACGCGACCATGGGACAAGAGAGCCTCACTCATGTAATACCTGTGCATAAGCTGACGATATGAAATTTCGGAGAGGCTACTTGTATGTTCGCATAATAAATTATCCAAAACCTAACAATTTTTCCTGATTTTTTCGTTGTTTCATCACTCAAAAAATATGATGTAGCTCTAAAGTCTTTTTTCTTTCTTTTTATCTTTAATTACAATGATAAAACGTATGAATATTACGTTTTATTTATTCAAGATAAAAATTACATTAATGCAAATGTAACTTTCATTCCCTTGTCGCTCTCGGAAGATTTATTACAAATTCTCAGATTATTAATGTAAAGACTGTTAACATTCAAACAATATTGTAACTCATCTAAAGAGAAGATTACGAGTTTTTCTATCCAAGAATACAGATTATATTATGAATAAATTATGCAATGTTTTTTTTTCACAAGCGAGAGAATCACACAGGAAAACAAGAGAAATATCATGATATTTATTTTATATTTTTTGTATTTATATAACACTTCTGAATTTTAAAGCCATTATAAATTTATTTACGAAAGATCAAAATTATATATTTAAATAAATAATATTCAACAAAATATTCAATATTTTCGAAAATTTATACACTATTTGATATTCAGTAAATATTCAGTATATTTTCAGTAAATATTCAGTAAATATTCAGTATATTTTCAGTAAATATTCAATAAATATTCAGTATATTTTTCATTTCATATATTTCATTCAAATAGATATTTTTTTTAAATTGTACGATTATCGTACAGAAATTCAATATAATTTACGTCGCTGCAGTGCTAATTGTCATGGTATATGATGGATCCCAAGTTGTCGATCTCAATTTGTTATTAATTCTATGGACGCGTTACAACATATGACATATTGATTACTCACACCGCATTTATCAGGGTAAATCCGTTTAATCGCTTCATGATATTCGATATTGAACATATATATATATATATATATATATATATACATATATATCAGCCAGACATAATATACGCTTGTATATAATTGATTTATAATGCGTAAATGCATTTCCCATTTGTATAACAATTTCATATACATATACAGATATTTCATAATATTTTAAAATTGTTTAATATTGCGATAAATTTAAAGAAGTTTGTCTTCGTTTAAAATTTAATAGCACTCCATTTTTTCGCAAATTCAATTTCATATTAGAGTTTTCATTGAGTGCAATTTTAATAACTATGATTTTAATTAAGCTTTTATTAAAGCTTAATTAAGTTCGAAACTGGATATTTTAAAGACTTCATAGAAATGTGTATTTTTTAAATATATGTAATTAAATATATGTATTGTTAAATTAAAATATATAATCTAACAATTTTCAAACTAAAAATATTTGCATATTACAAACTTTTTATTATTATTAATGAGCAAAAAAAGTATCTCATGAAAAGTAAACGATAAACGTGATCTAAAAATTCCAAAGCTTCTTGATAGATAATATATACTAGAGAGATTAACATAAAGAAATATTTTATATTTCTCCATCACGATAATTAATGGCAATTTGGTTGCCGTGCTTCCGAGAAATAATTGCAATAATTGCCCATCCTTTTACTCAGGATGTGTTGCAGGCTTTTAAAGGACATAAATAATTTACAGGTATCGCTGAAGATGGTGAAATGATATTTTTGCTTTATCGACTATTCTTTACCTTGCAGATACCTTGTCTGCGCAACATCACTTATAAGGACTTTTAATATATTTACCTGCCAGCGCTCGAAGAAGAAATAATAATTAAATTTTTGTCATATAAACGGTAACCGAACAAGGAGAACATTGCGATAAAAAACTCGATTAATATATCATTCTCTAGTCGAGTTTTTACGTGACGATCGCGATGATTGTTCTCTAATTAATCATTAATCAAATGTTTTAATAAGCGTGTAATGGCAAGAAGCATACTCTGCAACTTGTTGCGCAATAATGAAATAAATCGACTTTATCGGATTATTGATTTAGGGTAGAATTAAATTTTAAAAGACCTTCGTTTCAAAAAAATTTCATTCATGTAATGAATACGTCGTATTTACGAAGTATCGATGTTTCAAAGCTTCCTACAATTACTTATTGTCCCGTTAAATTTTCAAGTTACTCGCTTACCCCAGGCTGACTTTGATTACATCAGGTGTATACAAGCCAAAGGTAACGTGTAAGTTAAATGAATTTTGATCACCTAATGGCACCGGTATTTAATACTCAGTGGATGCGTATGTCCCACATACGCATTTCTATGTTGAAAAGTTTAATAAAACATTGACATATAACAAAAATTATGTTTTATGTAGCGAAAAGCGGATTTGTAAATTTGCGATTTTGTGAAAATAAATGATATAAATACATTCAAAGGAAAGAGAGAGAAAGAGAGAGGGAGAGAGGAAAGGAGAGCTTATACACATTTGGATTATTTAAGAATTAAATGTAAAAATATTAAACTTACTTGTAGAATATAATTCGCGAGTTGCATAATAGCCGAATAGAGAGAAAAATGATAAATTAATATTTAATTTGAAAAATATAATGCAGTATAATCGTTAAAGAAATAGTAAAAATAAATGATAATATGCAGATGGCAAAATTATAAAAATTTTTTATTTAAAATTATCTTATAAATTTTCAAGATTTGTGACGTTTAACACGAGAGGACTGTAAAAACACATGTTTACTCTACGCACACTTTGTTTACTCAAAATTCACGTAATTAATTGCGGGTTTGTTGTTTCATGCGTAATGTTTGTGTAAGTGCCCCTAAACACTCCTGTTTGTGACAATTGCATTATCATGACATTATTATATATGTACAACAATAATGTTATAATAAAGCTAAACTTCAAACGTAAAATTTAAAACAGCAATAATGATTTATATCACATTAAACACATATAATGTACATGATAACATAACTTGCGCTCGCACGTATGTGTGTGTGTGTGTGTACATATTGAAAATAATTACACAGATTTAATCAAATCATTCTGCAATTTGCAAATATTCAGCCAATCATGTAGCCTATATAATTCAGCTACAGGGTATCAATCTTTCTTTGTCCTCTGTTTTATACCTTTGACCTACGTTAATAATTTATCACCCATTACGTTACGATAAAAAAGAATGACTGGGTGACCGATATATTTTCAATGGATTACGTACATCATAATCATAAAGGCAGCATACTCAATTTTTATAGCCAGTACAAAAGCTTTTTCTTTTTTATTTAAATTGCTATCGATTAAACGTATCTAGGCAATAGTTGCGCGCTGCTTTGCTACTTCTGATCTAGATTTCAGTAGTTGATTTTATAAAAGATGACAAGAGCAAAAAAATGCAACTAAGTAAATATAACATATACTTTTGTTTTCAATATATAAATATTCTTAATAATTATATATTGAACAACATGATGACAAATTAAATTATTTACATTGATGACATTTATATTTATGACTTTATCTATAAACTATATGAAAAATTATCCAAATGTTTTTAAATTAAACGTCTATCTTGTTTATATATCAGTAGAATGTTATATTTTTGGAAAAATTTTAAATATTTCAGTCTTGTTCTGAAAAAAAATTCTATAACATAATAAAAGGTATAATTTTCTGAAACATACAGAATTATTTTAATATTAAAAAGTACATACAGAATTATTTTAATATTAAAAAGTTAAATTAAACTTAGCATTTTAGAATTAATCTTATAATGATTATGCATCGTCATTAAGTCGCGTAAAGGATAATATAATTTAATAACGTGTTCGCGTTTGTTATTATGATATACATATGTATGTCTATCATGACTGCATGTATGCGCATTAATCTATAGATACGAGAGAATACATTTTTCACACATGTGTGTGAGATATTTGTCAATAAATATGAAACAAAAGTTAATTAAATTGCGAGAAACCAAAATATAATTTATTTATTCTCGATTATTTATAAACGATTGTTGCCGTTTTAATCCAATGGAAAAATATAAATTTGACATTAACTAGATGTAATGAAAAATGTAAAATGAACATGAGCAAGAGAGAGAGAAACATCATTTTATATTAAATTTATATTTTTTAATCTTCTTGAATATATTGTTATTGTGTTAAAATAAAAATGAGTTGACTGATATTTATTAAATAAAATTATACTTTTTATAAGTAACAATTACGAGAAAAAAACTAAAACGAAAGAAGAAAACGTATGTGTCATATAGATTATATAGATCATATAGATTGATCTAAAATCGATTGATCTAAAATCTTCCAAAAACTAGTTTTGAACTGATTCTAGAACTGATTGAATGACGCTGTTTTTGTGCGATTTAAATAAAAACTTTAGAATAAGCAAATTTTTTAATTAGTGCAATAAAAAATAAAATAAATAATAATTAACATTTTATTGTAATTGATATTATAAATATTATTTAATTAACAAATAAGGACTATAATAATATGTCATTTATCACAATATTATTATGAAAAATGATATCGGCAGAATATATAAACTTTTATAATAATAAATTCGTTATAATAATTTTTTTTAAGGCGGAACATACTTTAATTAGATAGAATTATATTAATAGATGTATACGAATAGCTCTCTAATTATATATAAATGTAACAAAATTTTGTTGCTCGGGGTGACAAATATTTTATTTTCTAAATATAAAGTATAACATCAATTCTTTCACCTCCAACATAATTTGCATGTTACAAAAGTCTAACTCAGATACGATAAACTTAATATTAAATCTGCTAAATATGCAAATGAGAGTAAGTGAAGATTTATTATAGTCAGAACAAGATTTAATCATTTTCGAATCAAGTTACAGCAAAAAAAAAAACAGATTTTTCTACACGCACAGAATGTAGACTCGGAGTAACAGAATCTGTCTCGAGAGAAAAGAGATAAATTTACAGGAGGGAATAGGGAAGAACGAAACAAATCGTCGAACTCACCGCGTTCGAATTCTTGAGCGTTAGTCTCAGATGACGAGTGAAGATTGAGTGAAGCTTGCACGTTACGGCGGTAATGATGCGAAGTGTGGCAATACCGAGAGTCCCTTTATATATATAGGAAGCCGCTGTGCCTTCGATGGGGGATGAAAGAGAGAAAGATGATGAGAGAGAGAGGGTAAGCGCACAGGTGGCCGCTCGAAAGCGGCCACGCGGTCATGGGGCGCAAGCGTCCTCTTCTTGCCCTGCCCCCGTTCATCCCTCTAGCTCTTTACCACTCTCTCGCGCGCCGAGACAACCACGGGAGATGGAAGATACTTTTCTCTGTCGCGATTATGTTCCGGAATTATTTTCACTAAGAAATCGTTCCGATACTGAACTGCGGATGTCTATGAAGAAATGTCGACGAAAAATAACTTGATCAATCGATGTTTTGAATAACTTGATCAATCGATGGAAGAAGACGCGCGTGTGATACCCGAAAGAGCAAAAGGGCAAAAAAGAATTTACAAATTTACATATGTTGTGACAAGAAAAAGACCTCGTTTCTTTATCCTGAGGCTCGTATTATATATCTTTGAAACATGATGCATGTCCCATATTTCTGTCAGAAAAATGTTATACTTGCACAAATAATTTTGTATAATTAAAATAATAGGATATTTTACGACTAGCTTTCGACATATTAATATGATGTAGAAAGATGTAGAAGCATAATTATACAAAATATATTTTATACTTGTATATTTATTTTATCTGTAAATATAATTGTTTTTAGAAATAATAGAAAAAATAATAGAATCATGTTCTCTGTAAAAATTTTAATATCTTTGTCTTTTCACAGTTGCGTTGTAACTGAATTAAATTTATCTTTTTTTATCGATATTAATTTTTATTATCTCTTTTATTCCTGAATTTACTTTACACTTAAATATTTTAAATCACACGGAAAGGGAAGAGAGTCTACTTTTCAGCTTGATAAAGGTGAAAGTAACAAGAGACAATTGTTTACATAAATCTCTCTGTTAATCATGTTTGATACGTAGGCGAGCACGCACGTTATTGTAAAGCCCAAGTATTTCAAAAAATATTGCTACAATGGAAAGTAGGACGTTGAAGCCGGAAATTGTTTTACTACAGCTTTGCAGAAAAGGATCTTCATTAAAGATTTTCTATACAAGCACACGATTTTTAATCTAACGAGATCGTTCGCGACGCGTGACTTTTCCTTTTTCAATTTCGCGCACGAATCTTATTTGATGCGAAAGCACCATCGATGTTCCTCTCTCTGTCGAAGAATAAGGAAAGATTCTTGCGTTTTGTGGGAAGCCTGAAATTGACGAACGAAACAAAGCGAAAGATGTTTTCGCGAAAGATTTCTTGTACGAGAGCTTTTAAATTTCACACACTCCATTAGTCTACCCATTTCGTTGATGAGTCAGACAGCATTATATTGAGTATTTTCATTATAGCATCGTATACTTGAAAACAGAAATGCTTCAATACATTTGAATAGCTCTTTCTTAACGCGAGTGTATTAGAAAAATTATAAATAATCTAGAAAGAGAGAGACTACTATTTTTTTGTCATTTTTTAAATTTTTTTTAAAAATTTAAATATCACTATGCACAAAATCTTAAATTAAAATCGTGCGAAAATAAAGTTATAAACTTAAAAACGACTGATTTTGATGTCGATATTTTTACGGCCGAAATTTATATTCGAAACATTTCCAGATTTCTATTCGTCAAAAATATTTTTACATGAAAAAAAAATTGTTGAAAATTAGTCAAAATGTTTTCCCATGGTACATATGGAATAAACTTGTCTTCTCCTTCTTTTTGCTTGTAATCTTTTTTTCTTTTTTTTTTTGAGTATTTGACAATTTTTAGTTACACAGAAGTGCATATAACATAAAACTGGGCTAAAATTGTTATTTATTTCAATGCACAATTCACAAGCGGTGATTTTATTCTTCCTTCCGTGTGTATTTTGCTCACACACACCTAAATTGAAAATCTCCATTGAAAAACTCTACTGTATTTTCATACATTTTTTCACGCGGAAAATTCGCTTGTTAAATCATCGAGAGATGAAAATCTTTACCCTCTCAATATATTTTTACAATACATATACAAAATATATATTTTGTGAAACTAAATCACAGTTTCCATTGCTTTAATGATCAATTGCCCCAGTTATATATAGCATTATCTCTATTAATAATTAAGATAGATGTTCTATTTAATAGAAACTGATATCGCAATAAAAATGTACGAAATATTAACTCTTCATTATTAATCATTATCGATATAAACTTTAATTTTGATTAAAAATTGAATATCTTTTATATATAAACTTAATTTATACTCGATTGATTTATTTGTAACGAAATTTTTATTGTAATCCACTCTTGTTATAATTCTATAATTCTACAAAAATTGTATCACAATTATCAAAATTTGTTATTTGAGATAATTGCGTCATAATTTTTCATTAAAATAAAATCCATTTTCAATTGCTTGACCTTTCTGTAGCTTACGAAATTATGTTGTTTAATTTTCTTTTAAAATTAAATATAATTCCTTAATATTTTAATATTAAGGAATTATATTTAAATTAAATAATTCTATAAATTACACTTTGCACAACATTTCCTATAAAAAATGGTCAATTTGAGATTCGTTAGAGAATATCCTTCTACTATTAATTTGTACCTTTTTGGAGCTATTCTGTAATAACAATAAGAAAGCGTAAATTCGACAATTATTACTCGTTTATCAAATTGCGCGAATAACTGAGTACTTCTTATTTAGTCTTTGAAACAAAATTAATCCTTTCATTATCCCGCCTTTGAAGACTTTATTCTGGATCTGCCTGTAGAAAGAGAACAAGTAGTAATTAAGGATATAATCTTAAAGTCACATAATTAATAAATTTTGATACAATAACGCATTTTACTAAATAATAAATAGTTTATTATTTATTATTTTATTATTATTTTATTTATATTTAGTTTATTATTTTAATAATAAATAATAAATAAAAATTAGTGAGTATGCAATATCAAAAATATGTTGAAATTATTGAGATAAAAAATAAATTAAATCGAAATTGGCACATAAGAATCACAATGCGATAATTGGAGTGCAGGGAAGAACCAACACTTTCTTCTTTTTTATTACAAAATTAAATTTACAATAATAAAAGGTGAACGTTTCGGATCATTTTTTGATCCTTCCTCAGCGCGATGGTAACAATATATTACAAATTATGACACATACATTATAAAAATTTTATATTAATTTCTCGACGCGTAGATGACGCTAAATTGTATCCCGCGGAGATCTAGCAAGCGCGCTGCCTCCAACAATCCATCCAATATATTATAATTTTGCTGTGCAAAGTCGCAGCAGATCAAATTCCGCGTTTTTAACAATTAATAATAGTATGTCGTTGTGTATCTGTCATAGCGGCTTGAGATTCAATAGCAAAAATGAAGAATAAAACATCTTGTTTTATTAAAAATATTGTAATCATAATTTAAAAATTACATTACATAACGATTGCAATGCAGACAAAACATATAATTGTCATTAATATAGCTTAATTAATAGTATAGATTATTAATATTATTTAAAAACTTAAAACTTATATAAAGATCCAATATTGAGATTAAAAATAGATCCTGTAACTGTAAGAGAGAACAATCGACAAAGTAAAATCTACAAAAATAAAATAAAGCAATGCCGATATAAAATTTCTTCAATGTACAATCAGTTTGAAAAACAAATGTTCTGCATTTTTTTAATGCAATTTTTAATTAGCAATCTTAAAATAATATCTGTGATTTTTATTAACATTTAAAATAGTTTTCATAGCATTGCACATAATTTTTTCTGTAATAAAATATTGAATTTACTATTAAAATATTGAATTTACTATTTCCTTTAACTTTAAAACTTGGTAGTGAAAAGCTTATCACGATAAAAAAATACTGACTTATATTTTTATCATCATCATTTTAATCATGACTCAGAGAAATACTTATTTTGTGCTTTAAATTTATCTTGCATATTTGTGAGATAAACATAAATCGGTAAGCAAGCATATGTACTTAATCTAAATGAAAAGAGAGACACGTGTGTGTATATGTACGCTAAATGAAAAATTAGTTTTATCGATTCCCACTTTTTTTACAAGAAGATTTGTAAAAAAATGCATTAAACATATTCGCATTCAAATAAAGTTTATGAACAAAATGATATATATTATGAGAGTATAGAGTTTAATTTATTAAATTTACTTTTTTGATAAATATTTTTTATTTTAGTAATTTATTTATTTTTTTTTTTTTTTGAAAAATATGTTCGATGAGATTAAGAAATTATCGAAAGCTGATAAAGAATTCCTTAAGAACGATCACGCAAATATAAATAGATAGCGTTCGTCTTTAGTTACGCTGATGATCAAAGTAATATAATCCGCTATAAAATAGATAAATTACTTTCGTGGTGGAGAAATAGTTAAATTGACTAACATTAAAAAAAGCCTCACGCAAACCAATTAATAACTCTTGATACAAATCTTTTGGGATTCTTGTCCTGACATCGTTAAACTATTCGCTGTTTTTTAGTACATAGCTCGAGTGATAGATTTAGCAATGAAAAATACAAGTAAATTCGATTTATATTTGGTTTATATTCATAATAAATTAAGAATTTTTAAGGAAAAATTCATTAATTTCTTTTCTCTTTTGCTTTTCATATATATACGGAGGAATAATCTTCCTGAAATTTTAATGACTGATTCTATCATCGTGTTTTCTTTGAATAACATCTGTCCAACATCCTCCCATTTTTCTTCTTTCTTTTCGGTTGAAAATGAGGAGGCCGAGGGAGCTCGATTTTCTGATGCGAGAAATTCAGAAAATAATTACAACATTGTACGTGAAGAAGATAGCCGTCACGCCCGTCCTCGTATTATGTATTTCGCGTTATATTAATTGTACGCAAGATTTAAAGAAGATATTTTATCGATATTCAACGCTTTCTCGCGCTATGCGGTTTCTCGCTTTTATACATGCAATAAGACTCAATCAATTTATT